CGTCCCTTCCGAGCGCCCGGCCCCTGTAGCCCTGGGGACAGCAGGGGTCACTCCGGCCTTTCCTAATGCCTGCCATAGAAAGATGCCCCATTAGCTTAAGCAGTGCTGGTGGTTTGAGGTTACCTGCCTGGTTTTCAGCTTTCAGAAGGGTAGGCAGCACTAGTGACTCCTCAGGCTCCCTCAAGACTTCCCCTTGGAAGACTTCCCCTCAAGACTTCCCCTTGGTCTTTAAGGATTGGCTTGGGTGGCACTGAATTTTGGATAATATAAGCACTGGGGTAGGAACTTAACGGTTTTTGGGAGGGCAAGGGGGCCTCTGTGTCTGTGCATGTTTTGCACTAATAGTGGTTTAGTGCTTGTGGAAGAGAAAAGCTAGCAGGATGCATCAAAGAGAAAATAATGGAGGAGAGGGTGTTTTGTTTTGCTTTTAGGGCAGGAAAGCCAATGGATCTGAAACCGACTTCTATAGCGTAGCTGCAAGAAGCTGCCAGAAAGTAGCCTGGCTTCTCCTTGTCCGCTTTGCATCGCATCTACTGCCCAGTTCCGTACTCGGAGCCATTGGAAAGCCTGTCCATCCTCCAGAAGATTAGTTTTCCAGCAAGGCCGGCAGCCTCCTGATCCACCTTGCGCCCTCGCGGGACCTGCTCTGCACTGGGAGCAGCTGCAGCCGCCTCAGGGTTTGGAGCAACACGAGACCTCCCGGCTCCCTCGGTTGCCGTTGCGCTTGGCATAAAAGTCAGCTGCTGCATTCCTGGGCATTGCACGTACCTTCTGTGCTCAGATACCCCCTGCACCTGTAAAACATATATTTGTTAGCCTTACTTATCGTCGAGTCTCCCTTCTCGATTGTAATCGACTGCAATCTTCTCAAATGTATGTATTTCATTAGCTGGAAGTAAATTCTTAGTTTATGGTCACGTCCTGACATTTACAGTTTTGTTCTTCTGCAGAAAAACCCTTGCATTTCAAAGAAAATTAAAATTAAAAGGAAATGAAAGTGGGAAAAGAATTCCTGGGAGAGAGTAATTGTAAAATAAAATTTAATATGGGTAGTTGAGATAAACAATTTTATTTTGAGATGTGAACTGGGAAAGTTTTTACTACCTCAACAGCTGTTTTTGCAGCTCTGTATGGTGTTATTTACAGCTCTCTCTGTTCGAGGAATAGTTAAGAACTCTTGGTTTATATCTTCCCTTGTGGGAATTTAGGCAGGTCAGAGGAGGGAACGTAGCAGAAAAATGCAAGTTGCTTTGTAGCCAGCCAACAATGAAAGAAAACAGTAGGAATTTGTTAGAAATGTTTAAAGTATCGCACCGTCCTGCTGGAACCTGCGCGTGGAGCTTGCAGCTCCTGCATTTTCTCAGGAAAAAAATACATTTTTGGGAGAGCCTCTCTATAATGCAGAGAAAAGTATGCAGTGTAAGTGGCTCCAAATACTCCGAGCGATTCCTGCGTCCCCGGCGCGGCCTCGGCGAGCGGGAGGGCGCGTGTGCTCGCTGCCTCCCCCGGCCTCCCCCCGGCCGCGCTCATTCCGATCGGCAGTGTAATTGGAATGCGACCGCAGGCTGGAGGAGGAAGGGGAATTTTTGGCAAGGGGAGACAGAGCAGTTGGGAGCTTTATTCAGATTAAAGCATAGACGACCATTCATTATCAGTACAACACGCATTAGCAACAGCCCAGCATTGTGTTTCTACAGCTGGGACTTATTTTAGCGATTGTTTTGCGCTGCACGTTACAGGCAAACAACTGGGATCCGACTGGAAAAGCGACACTTTTCGATAGGAGAGGGTAATTCTGTGCAGGCAAGGGAGGCTTGTCTCTGAAATGAACTATTGTGGTGAAAATTGATAGGCTTTCTCTTTATCTCCCATGTGTTCCATGTGTTCTGAAAAATGCACTTTTTTTTTTTTAGGAGAAAACCATTGGGTGAAAAGCAGGAAAAAAATATAATGTTAAAACTGCTGATTTGATTCTGAAAGCTGAACTAGTTTTTCTAGGGTGATGACACGTGAAAAGCCAGAAGATTAGTAAACATAATCTTAGTTTTGGACCCGGTCCTTGTCTTCCTCCTCTAAACTTTCGGCTGCCTGTTGACACAGCATGGGCTGCTTTGGAATGTTTTACATGAGATGGGGGCGGCTTCCCCGCAAAGTCACGTACTGTCTTTCGGATGTGTCGCTTCTGCGTTTCCTTCCCAGTTTCTGTAGTTCGTGTGCTTGATGTTCCGTTGATGATTACTCTCTTATTTCCTTACCTGCTTTACTGTGTCGTTCCTTGACGGTATTGATGTCTCTCCAATGTACCTGTTTTTAAAATATTTACTTAAAAACATATCTTAAGGAAACTCTTTAAGGCCAAAAAAGGTGAAAAATATTTCTGTTGTACAACTGTAGTCTCTAGGTACTGGTACTTGATGTTTTTGAAACTGTACAAACACGTACTTAAACCTTGTAATCTTCTCATAAATCAAGAAAACCTGGTGTAACAGATGGATGAGTGAGTATCTAGCATCCAAATGCACTGCTCACAGGTCTGCTGCAGCGCTATAGCAGCAGCATTCCTGTTTTGCAGGTGTGGAGGAATAGGATGAACAAACCAGGTATCAGAATCGCATATATGGTTTATATAGGTTGGAAATACCTGTAGGTATTGAATACAAGGCCGCTAGATTTAAACATCCATCAGCCTTTGAATTTCAACGTGTGAAAACAGGGCTGGAGTAGCTCCAAAGGCTTGTAAGAAGAGGCCGAGGAGCTTGATGTCCTTTTGCTCTCTCAGTGTTCCTGGGAACTGACCTAAGGAGCGTGTGTGAGAGTGAGATTATAAGGAACAATGCAAAGGTATTTGGTGAACGTATAGAATGCGAAGCTGCTGTGTGTGTTTGTCTTGGCACATATGTATAGTTCCTCCAGATTGGACCGTTCCCATTGTGCTTTCTGCAGACTACCCAGGAAGTCTGTAATAAGTATAAAACATAGATATGCACTGACTCACTGGTAGTTTGTAATAAATGTCATCTACCTATATATATGTACTAGAAGATACTGATGTAATTTGATAATACCACCATTATTTATCTGTTTTTGAACCGCTGTCAGTATATACATCCACAGTCCTTCAGTGCGAGTTTAAGTGGCTTAACTAACTAACACTTCTTGTTTAAAAATCGTTTCCATCAAAACCATTTTAAAACAAATATTTACAAGTAGCAGATAACCCCCTCCAGTGCCCTCAGAAGTTTTATTAATGTCGTTATCCCTAAGGTACAGCAGTGTAAATCTGATAATGGTAGCAAGTTCATCAGCATTTTACCTTGGCCTTGTAAGAAAGCAAAGATCTAGCTTTGGTTCTTGTAATTTTTCAACTTTGCTTCAAGTCTGACAAAGGATCGAGGTCTCAAAGCGAATTAAATCCCCCAAGTTTTTTGCAAATAGTTGCTTGGGTAGAGGAGAGACCTGAGGAGTGACCTGAACCAGATGAAGAAGCTGCCGCTGGGCTCAAGCAGCTGCGTGGGAGAGTGCCCGGACAATGTGGAACAGTGGGAAAAGCTGCAGTTTTGCAGCTCTTGGGCAACCAGAAAACATAAATCCATAGGAAACCAGGCTTCCTTAGCCTTTATTCCCAGGGAACTATTAATCAGTTGGTTATCAGAATATTTAGAGTATGCCTAAGTAGCACAGTGTTGAAACTACTAGAAAAGGGAAACATAAGCTCTGGTTCTTTCCCCATCCGTGGGAAACCTTTTGTCCAAAGAAAATCCCACGTGAGATTAGAGCTCTGTATGTGGCAGAAGACGCTGTGTTTGAGTGAGCTGATGCTCTTGGTGTCTAGGCCTGTTCGCCTCGAAATACCTGCTGGAGAGGGTGGTTTTAAGCGGCAGTTCTCAGTGCCTCTCTGGTTTTGTTAATCCCACAAAGCCAGAATTTGTTGACATCTGATTTTCCTTAGACATGGTTACTAGAAGGAGTGATCTGGAGCCAACAGCGTTAGCTTGTTTGCTAGCACCTAATTGCTGGGGGAGCTCTTGTTTCTTTGCGTGCTGTACGGGTGCCCCATTTCACAAACACGAGACTTGGGGTAGGCTGCGGAGATGTGTGTTTTGAAAGGAACATTTTATGATGATCTCACCTTGCAATTTCTGTCTGAAAAGACTACTCAGACCTTTTATTTTAGACATCACACAGTATTAAGGCCATACTGTCTGATTTACTGTGTACTAGATGAATTTTGACTAAACAGTCTAATTTAGCTTCGCTGGAGATTTCCTTTTTTTGACCTTCTCTGGAAGCATCTGTCCTAATTGCAGTTTTCCCCTACTTTGTGAAAGATCGTTTGTGAGCTGTAACCTCTTCCAAAGATGCTTAGAACGAGGCACGTTGTTTTTAGATTAATTGTGTTGTCATTGGCACCTCCGTGTCAAACTGAGCTGCTCAAACGTTGGGCAGAGGCTGCATGTGTGTGGTTTTATGTGCATTTTATGTGCACTTTGCAGTGTTCCGGAGCGGGAAGCAGGGATGCCTTGGTTTGAGTTGTCTGTGTGTGTCAGCTTGTGGGATGCAGTTTTCCATTTTTACACTTACTGGTAGTAATAAATTCTAGGATTTGTACAGAAGAAATACCCAGGGATTCCATACTGAGGAGTGGTCTGCAGCCTTGTTCCCAGCCCCTCACCTCTGCTCTGGTTTCTCATACTAGCTCCAGGAATTTCTATTTTTGCTCAACACCAAGGATCATGTTGTGTTTTAAGTAAATATTTTAGTGTCTTGCCTGTAGAACAAGCGACTGAGGAAAGTGCTGCTGTAGTCTGCCTAGAGGAAGTGCCAGAAGATGACACTTCTGGGTCAGCTTTTAGGAAATATTTTATATGACAGTATAAGTGATAAGGGAGAATGGATCTTTTATGTCCATTAAAAAAAACAAAAAAAAAAACAAAAAAACCCTTTGTTTTAGTGAAGAATCAGTAGCTTCATTATGTATTTCTTTTCTTTTTTTCTTACAGTACTGTGTGCAAAAAACTTGGTGAAAAAAGATTTTTTCCGTAAGTAGCTATTAAAATTTCTATGCTTGCTATAACTTATATCCTCTCTATAGGTTCTGCACATCACTGTTCATACATGGGCATCCTCCTCTTTGGGTAGGAGTCCTCGTGTGGCTTGGGATGTGACAGGACCATCCCTTTCAGTGGCTGTTAGAGCAGCAGTTTCAGTGTGGTGGTCCTGCCTCTTTCCCATCCTCAGCCCCTTTATAGCCCAGCATCATCTTTGCACTGGTTTTGTTGAGTCTTTTCAAGGTACTAAACAAGCACTAACTAAACAGACCTCAAAACAGTGAGTAATTGACTATTGGTAGTTTCCTGTAATGTAAATAATGAAAATCTTGATTACAATTAATCTTAAAAAAACAGGAATATAATTCTGTTTTTCTTCTGCCTTTTGTTGAGTTTGTTTTATCTTGAGAATTTTATTTCCCTAGTTGAGAGTTGAATAAGCTGTTTAGAGGCTTTTTCAGGTGTTTAGAGTTACTGACCAAGAAAAAATTCTGAAGTCCAAATGAAAAAATGTTCTATTTTAGTTTTCCTATGGTTGACAAATATCTTGTTATTCTGTTATATCCTGTTAGTGAATAGGATGGTGATTTATCAATAAAAGCCAGGTTAAAATTTAAAATAAAAGACTTTGAACATCAGACAAGTATTTAGGACTCAAAAGCTTCTTCATCTGTTAGCTAATTATTTTTCTTTCTCTCCTCTCAGGACTTCCTGATCCATTTGCTAAGGTTGTGGTGGACGGATCTGGCCAATGCCATTCTACAGATACTGTGAAGAATACACTTGATCCAAAATGGAATCAGCATTATGACCTGTAGGTGGTAACAGTGATAACCAAAGGTTTGAAGTGAACTCCTCTAAAGTACACAGAAATTTTCAGATGTTCATAATAATCTTCTCTTCACAGCTTGAAAAATATCCCCCAGTTTATTAGTAAGAGTAGAAAATATATGTCAGAGTATCACTCGTTTCCCTGAAAATGTAAACAATGCACTTATTTTTCTGGTGATCTCTTAGTATGTTACTTTGCATCAAGGGTGAGCACCAATTTTTGTTCTCATTGAGGGCGTGCCTAGTTTTGTTGCAATGAAAGGATTTTGCAAACAAACTTGATAGTTTTCTTGTAAGGTCTTCTTATTCCAAGGAAGAAATTAAGAAAGGGGAAAAAGCTAGGAAGAAATTAAGAAAGGGGAGGAAAAAAAACCTTTTTTTCCTATCATAAAATATATATTTTTTTCTTATTAGCTCTTAATAGGCTTATGTGAAGTAAAACTTTTTCCATGCTATATTGTGTTGAAGTGTCCACAATTTAGAATTTATTTAACAGATTAATGCTGTTGCTAACTAACCATTTTGTGTGCTATTGTGATGTAATATGTGTGTGGCACAGTAAGATGGCTCCTTTGTGGTATATTTGTGGAAAAAAAAAAGTCTGAATTGGCTTGCCAATTCTAAGGGAATTTGTGCTTTGTTAACCTGAGTCAACATAATGGGTATTCTCTTGTATAAGTTTCGTTTTGTTTCAGATTTCTGCATTATTAATAAGAACCAAAAAGATATTTGTTTTTGCCTTAATGTGGTCCTTAATTCAGAATTTAACGTGGAAGGAAGCAGCTGAATTTGTTAGTGCTTAGGTTCTTCAGTCTACATGGGTGTGTGGTGGGGAAAATCTGGGAGGCTTTCCAGAAGGAGAGAAGAAGGGGGCGGGGGGAAGCCAAATAGTTGCTGTCTGGATGCAGTTTAATGTCAATAAAATATCGTGCTTGTCCTGGATGTATTCCCCTTCCTTATATTCTCTCACTTGTGTTCTCCCTATTGTTTGTGCCCAAAGCTTTGAATAATTGGACTTCAGGAGATTTGCAGACCTTTTTGCATTCAAAGCATTTGGATGCTGTTTAAAGCCATTAGTTCTCAAACTTTCTGAATTGCCCTTTTCTCTTCCTTTACTTTTGTTCTTTTCTACGATAGCCAGGATCTCTCTTAGAGCCTTGCCACACTCCAGCATCTCCTTGCATCCCTCCCCATCAGCCTCTGGACCTTGAGGTGTAGCAAGTCGTATGCTTTGTTTACCTCTAAAATATGTATTTTTACTGTAACCTGCCCCAAAATGAAGGCCCCGCCCTGACTCGCAGACCTACGGGCTTGAAACACCCATCGGGCGCTGGCGGCGCGAGGACCGTCAGCTGAGGGAAGCGAGGGGAGAGCACACGGGGAAGGTGCTTTCCTTTCTGTCTCTCTCTTCCTCCTCTCCCAATCTTCAAAGTGCTCAAAAAACTTCTTTGAAACTTCAAAGCGTAATGTTATGTGAGTAAAAAATCAGAAATGGGAAAATGGAGAAACTAAATAATTTGTCCAAGTCATAAAAAGGCTCCATGTGACAGCATGGATTAGCAACTGGGAATTCCTGGCTTCCAGGCCTGCGTTCATTGCTCTTGATGTTGCATTTTTCCCTCTTTCTGGAGGGAGTGCATCTGGCTCAGCATCAGGCAGAGATGTTTTATTTCAGGAATATATGTTTTTTCCACTTTCTTCATTCTGCTTTTTTCTACCCAGCTGAACTCTTCAGGGAAAGCACGTAGAGTGGTACGGAGATGAAAAATCGCTTGGTATCCAGCCTGCCTGAATGTGGCATATTGACTCACAAGGAAATGCTCCTTTGACAGGGATTTATTTTTTTAATAGATAAAATGATGATTTTCCTTGTGTTTAAAATTTGATTAAAATCTTTTAAGCTTTTTCAGATGATATAAAACAAATGTAACTTACCCAGTAAATGAATTGAAAGGCCAACATAGACCTACATTCACTTTTTAAATATAACTATATATTTTCATGCCTGAAATCACACAGAAAGAGAGATGAAGCATTTTCAAAAAGCCAACTAGAAATCATTGTCTTTTTTTTCCCCTGGGGAATATATATATATATATATATATATATTTGGATTTTTATATTGGATTACTGGATTTTATATTGGGGATATATATACACATATACATATATATATACATACATATATATATGTATGTATGGAAAACACAGCCTGTTTTGTTGTTTTTCTTCAAATATGTGAATTGGCCAGGACTTCTGCCACTAACAGCAGTGCAGGTTAGTAGTAATATGGAAGTCCTCACCTGTTTGGTATGGATGGTTTACTGTCTGCGTCTCACCCATGAGTACCTCACCCTGAAGTGTTACAGTAATTCTTGGAAAGTGTATTGTATATTCAGCTGTTCTACGTATTATTCAAACTGTTCTGTTATGAAATTGTGATTAACCATATGCCTCTGACTTTCTTAAAGCAACAAGGAAAACTGGAAAATTCAAGACAGGTCATGAAAAGTCTTTATTTTTAAGTGCACCTAACCTTGTTCTCATAAGAATTTATTTTAAGTACATGAAACATTGTAGACTGCAACTGTGCACGTGAATACCCATCTTCATCTCTTGTTTCTCTATTCAAAATCGGCATTGTCAAGGTTGTAAGGCCAAAAATCTGATCTGTATTAATATTACATAATCAGTTTAGTTTTTCAAAACTTTGGGTTTGTTTTTATGTGCATTTTTTGTAAAATGTGCACTGGTTATTTTAACCCGTGCACATGGGTATGTGCCTACAGTCTTGTTTTTCTGTTCTGCTTTTTGGGTCAGCCTCTATCTGCAGGTGGTAAAAAGAAGTTGTCCAAGTTCAGCTTTTTGAGTTTTCAGTTTATACAATAAAGGAAAAAGGTGAAAAGTGTTAATTGAGGACTTACGTGATCACAGCTGTCATTTTAAATCCTGCAAGGTAGTTCAATCGTTTGGTTTGCCAACCTTGACAGTATCATTTCTATCTTTATGAAAATAGCATTGAGATGATTTAAAGCTAACAAATTTTGAGTTGATGGGGGAGATATATTTAGAGGTGAATCAAGTTGCTTGATTAGTTTTCCTTCAGAAGTCAAACATAATTCTTGGAATTAAATTAGAGAAGGCCAAATGTCTCATCTGGGAACAGAGAGCTGGAACTTTTGGAGAACTAAGCACTTTTCAGCATCAAAACCACAGTAACAAATTTGTTTTCCTTAAGTTAAAGTAACTGTATTATTCGGAACCTTTCATTTCTGCTTAGAAGTGTTGTCAATGCACAGACAGAGAATGTATGCAGCTGCTGGCATCTCGAGAATTTTGGAATTGCTTTTTGAAAGTTTCGGAAACTAGTTTACAAGTTAAATGCTTCTGAAGATCAAAGCTTCAAACAAAAGCAAAAATAAAATAGCCTGCAGTGTTAGGATTTCCTCAAGTTCAAGTAATGCGAGTCAGGATTTTGCAAAGTATTTCCATGGTGGTCCTGACAATAGGTGATTTACAGGAATGTGGCGCTTCTCAGCTGAGGTACCATAGGAACCAGTTGTGATGGGTCACATTCACAGTACAGAATGTGTGTTAAAACCTGGGGCTGTCTGGAGCTTTCTTAATAGTAAATTAGCTTCCCAAATGTTCATTAATTGCAGGTAATTAGGTTTACCTTTTTCTCCTTGAGTGCTCAGCAAAAGAGCACTAAGCCAGAGCAACTTGCAGTCCAGGTGGTTGGAAGGAAGCAGCAGACGGAGTGCCGCGAAAAGATGCTGAAGCGATAGTTTCTCCCATGGCATTTGAGCTACTTTGCTTGCTAGCGCTGCGAACGACCACATGCTGCCCCAAGCATTGCCATTGCTTCCCATGAGCCTGGAGGAGGGCATGAATGCAAGCATGGTCACGGCTGCGTGAGGAGAGGTGGTCCTGAGACCCAGTCCAGAGTCTGCCGAAATCCATGTGACCGTTCTAAGTGGATTTCAGTAGACTTTGGATTCCATCTTTAACTTGAAGACCGAGGGAGCCTTCACGTGAATACCCTTCCCCACAGTCATGCTTTTAGGTAGATCCCTTCATAAGTCATACAGTCATTGAGATGTCTCTGAATTTTTACTCTCTTTTGACAATAGTGTGTGCTTTAAATTTTTATTGTCAAGGCTGGTTTTTCCCTCTCCCCTTCATGAGTTCTGGGGTGTCTTCAAGGTATTTGGGAAGTGTCATTCACAGTGCTCTTTTCCACATTTTCAGATATATTGGGAAATCGGATTCAATAACGATCAGCGTGTGGAATCACAAGAAAATTCATAAAAAGCAGGGAGCTGGTTTTCTGGGTTGTGTGAGGCTTCTTTCAAATGCAATCAACCGCCTTAAAGACACTGGTTGTAAGTAAGCTAAACACTGATATTTCTTCTCTTTCCGAGCAAACTTCTATGCACGCAATTTTTAGAAAAGTGACAGTTGACACTGGGTTTGTTTTTGTTTTCTGAAGCTTGTATATTCCATTTGCAATGTTGCTTTGTGGCTAAGGTTAGCTTAGTTAATGTCACTTAATGCTAGCTTATCTTTGACTTCTCAATTCCTTTGCCTCAATGCTCTGTGGTATTGGGGCAGGTCTGGTAACTTGTTTCAGCAAAAGTCCTCATAGTTTTATTTCTGCTTTAGAATTATGCAAGCTATGTCCTGATTTAAGAATTTTTACTTTTGCTTTTTTTCTCTGTTTCTTCAAGTCTTAATAATCTTATTAGGCAAAAGTTTGTTCTGATGGTGCTTCAGTATGATGTTCAAAGGCAACAAAAAATTGAAGGTTTACACTTTGTTTCCTGGTTTTATAGATCAGAGATTGGATCTGTGCAAGCTTGGGCCTAATGACAACGACACTGTTAGAGGACAGATAGTAGGTAAGTGAGGCCTTTTAGTTTTTAGTTCACGTTGAGCTTAATTGTAGTTGTAGGATTACCTTCCTAAATTTAATCTTTCCAGACTTTATTTTCAAATGTGATGCTTAGTGCCAGAGCCATTTGGAACGCAACCTAGAAGCTTGTATGTACAGAACTATTAAAATAAAATTAAGACCCCAATAGTGTAATGTTGCTTACGAGATATTGTAATCTATCATAATACTGACTTGAGATGGATAAAACTATAGATGAGATGAGACTTACCTAGAAAGAATGCTATCTTGAATTTTGCCCTGAAAAATGGTGGCAACTTGAGTCTTAACTCCCCATAACAAAATGACAAGTTCCTGGGCCATTGAAACATTTTGCAAAGAGGGGCTTACTGTGGGCTTTATGTAAGAGTAAAACATTCTGCTGTAGCAAGAACTACTTGTTGTTTAGGATGACTTTGCCGATTCATTTTGCATTTTCATGCATTACTGACAGATCTCACCAGTCTCAGTAACAATGCTTTGTCATTATGTTACCTGATAAACCTTAAATAATTTCAGAATTAAAAATAACACCTTGAAGTAGACAAACTGAAAAATAAAGACAAACAACTTAGTAAATGTTCTGTCAGTGTCTGAGTTCTGAGGCATTTCAGAGGGCAGCATTTCTCAGAGCGGATAACTTCAGAAGTCACAGAGATAGCAATCAAGATAAGGAGAATGGGAGGAGAAAAAAGAAAAGTGGACTTGCATGCTCAGTCTTTTTATTCGGATAATATGCACACAATGTCCCTATATCATCTCAGATAATATGCACACAATATCCCTGTATCATCAGCCAAGTAAAAATATTGAAAAGCCAGGCACAAAGTACGGACCTCAGTGCATTTCTTCGCTTTCTACAAAGTGCTCTGCTGAATAACTCCTATGACTCTGTGTGTTGTTTTAACCAGCTGTCTAGCATCTGATCTGCAAGGGTTTGCAAAGCATTAAGATGGGATTAAGGTGCCACACTAAGGTCAAATACTGGTAGAAATGTGAGATTGTAAGGGCCTTGCTGATGCTTTGGACCGTTCTGGGCCTTTGTTTTTTCCATATAAGCTTACGCAGAACCAAGGAAGATGAAACAGCCCTTTAGGCGGGCTGCCTTGTGTTGTCAGCTTGGCTCGCTTTTCGTTTTGTTCCTTGACCATCCCTGCTCGTTTTACTCATGGGCTTCCTTGGAAGAGGAAACCTGGAGCACAGCTGGCGAGGGCCCTTCCAGGCCTGTTCCGGGGATGGGGATCCCTGTGTCCGCAGCGCCTCAGCCGGGCCGCAGGCCTGTGCTCACGTGCTGCCCTCGGACCCGCAGCGGCCAGCTCCACCGAGACACCTCCGTTTGGGCCCTTATAACCCAAACATCCCCAAATCACAACGCGGTAACACAACTCGTCAGGACAGAGCAAAATACATGTGCTTTGCTTTGAGCTGTTGCTGTTAAGGCTGAGTTTCCTCAGTCATTGCTTTGGTTTAATGTAACAAATTCATGGGAAGGGTCCAGAGACTCCTGTCCTTTTTTTTTTTTTTTTTTTTTTTTTTTTTTTTTTTTTTTTTTTTTTTTTTTTTTTTTTTTTTTTTTTTTTATCAAAGTTATTCATGTCATTACTCATGTCCTTATAATTCAGTCTTTCTTCACTAAAGTAATTTTGGTGAATGAGTGAGTGGCACTCAGTAAGAGTAGGTAATTTCACTGCTGTGGTTCAATGTAAAGAAATTGTGATTAAAAATGGTAAAATAGCAGAGAGAGAGAGAGAGAGAGAGAGAAAACAATCTAAATATATTCCTAATGTTAAAATGATGGACTAGTTAAAAGGCTGTGTAAGACTGGAAAAAAGCCTAGTCTATTAATATAGAATTGATATATTTGACAGTTGATAACCTTACAAATCAAGTGCGCAGTGGGAATGCCTGCATAACATGAGACAGGGAGCAAAGGGATCTTTATTGGAAATACCCGAGTCTATCATCGAAGGGGGGAAGAGAAGGGGACACTTGTGAGTAGTGGATACAAAGGGCACCTGAATTGTGTCTTAATCTTGCAGCTCTCTTCTGTGCCACCATTTTATTTCTGATGTGGCGGTGCAGAAAAAAAACAGTCCTTACTCATTACAAAATGAAGCCGGGCACAAATTTTGGTCCTCACGTAGGCAAAGAGGAGGTAATTGCCTTTGTTTAGTTTCATTTTTGTCTGTGCGTATTGCTTGCCAAACCTTGCCTACATTCAGCAATGTGAACTTATCATGTGTGGGTTTGTTGCGGAATAAATACAGCTATGGGTTTTTTTAATTATTATTCTCAATTGAATTTAAGGTGCCTTTCACTCTAGGGGAGAGTTGCCTTGTAATATTAGTGCTCATGGAAGAGTAAGAATTAAGTATTGTTTAGGAATGTAGCAAGCAGGCACCGTGCGACTCCTTATTTCAGTCTCTTGAAGGCTCAAAATTGTCAGCTTCAATACACCTTGGTGGTGGTGCTCAGCACTTGGTCTCTTCACCAAAATTTACCTGTACCACTAAATCCTTTGTACCATTGGGATCTTGACAAATACCTGGTTGGGTCTAGATTTAAGTCTGTAAATCTTACTTCATTTTGTGTCAGGCAGGGCTTGAACAGTGTCCAAAGTCCATTAGTGCCATGGCTCATATTTAGCTTTTGGTTTAGTGTAATCCTTTTATCATTTAAAAAATAAAATAAAATAAACCAGGAACACCAATACCATAAACTATCAGATTGGATGCTTGCAAATTCAGGCATTAGAAGCAAAAGCGGTCCAAGAAAATCTTTGTTTTCATAGTTTCAGTAAAAGAGCTTGAGGCACAAATATCTGTTAGAATAGAACACGTAAAAATTCTAATCGGGTGGTGGTGGTGTTTATGTTTTTTTATTTTTTATTTTTTTAAAAACAGATGTTGAGGGTTATTCAGGGTGCAGATTGCTGCTTTGTGTGAAACAATTGAATTTGATTTCTGTGTCTGAAAGGAGCTGATAAAGCTCCATAGTGCTTATAGCATTTACATTTTGCTTGTTTTTGTGTGTGGTGTGTGCTCTGAACCTCATGTGCATACCAAATACGTGGAAAGAAATCAAAAGCATAGGAGAATCTTAGTGTTTTAGAGCTTTCTATAATCAGTGTTTCCTTCCTGTTAGCACAGAAGCCTGACACTAGCATTACACTATCCCTCTTCCTGTCCCAGTCATTTCTAGCTATTGAGCCATCCTGTTGCCACCAGACAAACCCTTCAGTTTTGTTACATTGCCGTCTGCTTCCTATGGAGAAGGTTAAGGACAGCTTCTGTGGACTTTTCTTATATTCATCAACTTTAAGACAGCTTTTTTTGAAGTAGTGTGCAGAGAATTGTGTGTGTGAAAATATACCCTATTTCTGCCTAAATTTTCTTTGATTTGTGGAAAGAAAAAAATATCCACAATTTGGTTCAGTTTAGTCCTCCAAGTTGTACCAGTCTCTTTCAGATATAAATATATTTGTATTCAGGTGTTGTATTCTTAGTAATTCTTTTATTATCTTAATAGTAAGTCTTCAGTCCCGAGACCGAATAGGCACAGGAGGACAAGTTGTGGATTGCAGTCGTTTGTTTGATAATGATTTACCAGATGGGTAAGCTGATACTGGTGTGATATAAATACAAAAACAGTCCATACCACAGACTTTTGCAATAATGAGAAGTAAAAGTAAAAATAGGTTATTTATTTTTATTCCAACACTTTGAGTCATAGAATTTTTAATTTAGAAGCAGGAGATAAGGCAGCTGCTTACAAAATTTAGAAGGCTACAAGGAATGGTTAATAATTTGACCCATGGCTTCTCTCTCCTTGAGGAAAAGAAAAAGAGGTAGAATGATGAGTGCGTGTATTAAAGAAAATATATTTTTTTAACAAATCATAGATCTTTCAAATTATAGAATTGATAAACTACTTAAAAGTGACTTTTTAATGAAAAGCAAGTATAGTGCAGAACAATGATATGATAGCTTTTACTGAGACAAGTTGTTAAAAACATGGAATGCAGTAATGAACATGTCTTAGGTAAATTTCTTTATATTGTTATTGAGTTTAATTATAATTCTAGCTATTGAATGTGATGGTGAGATATTGTAGTTATTGAATGTGATGGTGGGATATTGTAGTTATTGAATGTGATGGTGGGATATTGTTAATAATATGAGGAAAAGGGAAAAACGCACAAAATTAATTCTAACTTGAACTTTTCCTTGTTTCCTGCTACCTTGTTGAGCTAGCATGATTCATAATAGTAAAAGTCTTCCTGAGTTGGCATTTATGTTGGAAACATTTTGTGCCCTAATTTCCTGAAAATACCACTCATGGCCTTATCTCTCAATGTCTGGAATCTAGGTGGGAGGAGCGGAGGACTGCTTCTGGAAGGATCCAATACTTAAATCATATTACAAGAACAACTCAGTGGGAAAGACCAACACGGTAAGAAATTATTTGCAGAAGTTTGTTTTGACACTCTGCGTGAATTGTTGAGTCAAATATAGCTACACAGAAAGTACAGCTTTAAACTATAGTTGCATTTGACTTGAAATAATTGTATACTGCTAATGTTGCCAGCTCTGATAAATATTTTCAAGTGACTGAAGGTGCTGATTTTTTTTAATAATCTATATTTTTCCTGGTCCGTTAAAATATCTAACCTCTAGACACTAAGCTCCAGACACATTTACAATAGAAAAATCTAAAACATGTAATTTGTTCTAGGGGATTTACTGCAGTCTTATAAATCCTCTTTAACCTTTTTAAGATTCTTTTGAAAGCAGCACTGAGATACAGAACCATATAACTCAGTGTTTCCATTTTCAGTCAAGCTACCAAGAGCAACTGTTTCTATCTCAAATAGCCCTTTTCATCATGCTCACCTACTACTCTTTTGTAAGAATACAAGGGTTCTTGAATATACAGGGTTCCTTGTGTTCTTAGGAATACAAGACCAGACTTCCTTGATTTTACAAAGTCAAGGTGAGAAAGTTTGAGTTGTGAGTCCCTCATCAAAAAATAATTTTAGTCTCATACTTCTGTTTTTTTAAGTTGCAACTTATTCATGTGAGTGTTTGATATGATCTTGATGCTACAACATCATCTACTAAGCATTCCAGCATCACCTATTAAGTGCCAGGCTAAACCCAAGTTAGATAAAAAGGTTTACTGACCACTTTGGGATGAACCCAAATAAAAGAAAAAAAATTCTTTTGGCATAAAAGCTTCTTGCTTATAGTCAAGGTATCCTGCCGGATGAGTCAACTGCTGCCTTCTGCAGTCCAGTAAGTTTTTCCAATATCCTTAGCAGAAGCTCCTGTAAACTATATTGTCCAGTGCCCTGTAACAAATTAGGTAAATTTCTTAGTTGAAAGTGCATCTATTTTAAGGGGAAGGGAGGCAATCTTGCCTTGAAAGGTGTCTCACTCCACTCGCGTGTTCAGTGAAACTGGCTGCAGAAAGCACTACTTTTGTTTGTTGCACACACATGTTTCTTTGCAAGGTGTTTTAGATTATTTAAAGTATAATGTTAGAAACTTTTAATTTCTCAGGTAGGAAAGGCAAATACTTTTCATGTTGTTTATTTTTCTTTCCTTTCCCTGCCTCGCCAGGCCAGCGTCTGAATATTCCAGTCCAGGAAGGCCTCTAAGCTGTTTTGTGGATGAGAACACTCCAATTACAGGAACGAATGGCGCAACATGTGGGCAGTCGTCAGACCCACGAGTGGCAGAGAGGAGAGTCAGGTCACAAAGACACAGAAATTACATGAGCAGGACACATTTGCACACTCCTCCTGATCTACCTGAAGGATATGGTAGGCAAATTAGAAATTGTTAATTGCAGATCTTCCCAGGCACTGGGAAACTGGATTCTCTCTTGCTCTTGTATGTAAGATCCTTTGAATCTTAGCTTGAAGAATCAGTCTTCAAGTGTGTTTGTATTGTATTTTTTGTTGTTGTTGTTCTTATTACTTTATCTTGATTTCACAGAGCAAAGGACTACTCAGCAAGGTCAGGTCTATTTTCTACATACTCAGACTGGTGTTAGCACGTGGCATGATCCAAGAGTTCCTAGGTAAGGAAAGAATGATTGCATCCATAAGACATCAATTAGAAATTATTTTATCGAATAGAAAAATTACTGCAACTCCCCTCAGAGTTCTCTGTCCAGTGTTATGTTTCTCACTGCTGGCCACTAATGGGAGGCAGTAGGACATAAACATCCTGGAAGTTGAAGTGGTGACATATGTTTAAAGTTCCTGACTTTTTTTTTCTTTTTCCCCCAGACAAATTTTTCCTTTTCGTAGCAAACATCTAAAAATGACTTTATTTCTAGAGGCTTCCCATACAGAGCAGGAATTGATTTTTTTATGGACTTTATCATAGATGTTCTTAGAACATCATTTGTGCTTTGAAGCACCTTATTAGCAGTATATAAATGGTGAGAAAAAAAGAATGCAGGAGAGAAGCAAACAGGTAAAGCAGCTGAGGAAGTGTTGACCTGGGTGTAAGGAGGGGAACCCTCAAACTGCTGCATCTGTTACAACTATCTCAGCCCTTAGAAGAAATTAAATCTGAAGCATCCTGGCAGAATACAAAATACTTCTTGGGACGGAGAGTAATGTATGTAGGAGTAGTGAAATCAAGAGGGAAAACTTTCAGAAAACTTTAAGGAATATTGTGGTAAAATCCACAATATCCATTTCCACAATGTGGCATTGTGAGCTGTTGAGTAGAATTATGGACTTAAACTAAAATTAAAATTAAAGTGCTAAAAAAAAATGTATTCTAAAGAACAGCCTTACGCTGGTAGAGAAATGGAAAATGCAATCCAAGAGTTTTTCATCTGCAATTTCTAAGACATTTAGAATCAGTATCTCATCCATCTCATCATACAGATTATACAGATCATCAGCCGCACGTGGGGAGTAAAAGAGACAGCTTGATACGAGGCTTACACATATGTACACACAAAATCAATAAAAGTACATTAAAAACATGCTGATTAGTTTCTTATATGAATCTCCAAAATGAAGCAACATCCTTCTGGTTTCAATAGGTTGTACTTAAAAGCAAATTTCTGTGCATTAATTAGTGCAGAGCCAAGTAGTCTTCAGATGGTCTTTTATTTGAAATATTTTGGTCGAGTTGCTTGCTTCCCACTAGCACTTGAGATTTTGGGGCAGAAATTGTTTGTGGCCTAAGCACATCTCCTGTGCATAAGTCTTAATGAAAAGTATAAGTGTTCAGAAATATAGTTTTGTTTTATAGGAGTCTTTAAAGTGTGATTCAGAGTTTCTTACATGACTAATGCCGTTTTAAAAGATGTTTGCTGTCTAAATTGATGTAGAAGTGCAGTTCCATTTGGCAAATATGGCATTGGCTTTTGCTTTTGTTTTAAGCCTGTATTAACGTAACATTTCTATTTTACATCGCTATTTTATAAAAGCAAAGGTTATTTGATAGGAATTCTCATTCCACAAATCACATGCCGGGGGGTGGATGAGTTTTCTTTGGTGGGATTGTACCTTGGGAGCAGCAATTCCAGCTGAACAGCTCAGGTTTCTGAAACAATACATTTTCTCAGACTGCATGGAATTGTTCTGTTACATTTACGCTTGTTTGGCTCGGAGGCCAAATGCTGAGGTATTTTTCATTTTATATTTGTTTTCACAGGGATCTTAGCAACATCAATTGTGAAGAGCTTGGTCCACTGCCTCCTGGATGGGAGATCCGAAATACAGCAACAGGCAGGGTTTATTTTGTAGACCATAACAACAGAACAACGCAGTTTACAGATCCACGGCTATCTGCTAACTTGCATTTAGTCTTAAAGTAAGTCAAAAGTGTCCAGCACGTGTTGAATATTCAGAAGAAAATGACTCTTGAGGGGTGTTAGACGTAGATCCAGGTGTCTTTTATCATTCAACATTGTTTAGAGCACAGTAGAAGTGTTCTTTAAAATACAACCAGCTTACTCTGTGTACCAGAGTAAGAACGTTTGCTTGTTCTTGTATTGAAAACAGCAGCAGCAAAATCCAACAGCATTTTGACAGGGATGTGGCTGTTGTGATGCCCTGGGGCAGGGGGCGAAGCCAGTGTCTCTCCATGGAAAAGTTTGGTCATGGAATTTTTCCCAACAACCAAAGAGACTCTTTCCTTTGCACTTTTTCTTTACTTTTTAGAGCTTTTAGTTGTGGAGTATTCATTTTAAAATATCATGTTGCATTTGATAGCTATTGAAATAAGATACTGATGGATTATACAAGGGAGCCCTCAGCTATTCTCAGCTATTCTTATAGATGGAAGGATATCATCAGGCCCAGCCTTCAGTTATAGCGGAAGACTAGCTGAGATGTTCTGAAAATAAAGAAAATTTCTTGTTAAAATCATGTTTTTTACCAAATTAAAAAAAAAAAAAACAAAAAAAAAAAACCTCTTTTTTTTCTGCAGATACCAGCCACCTTAGTGTTGATTTTTTTGATGGATCTCCAATCTGAAGTATTTTTATGTTATATGTAAAAAGGGAGAGGGGACTCAAATGGATTCTGGCTCCTGTTTTAATTTCCCCATCACTCATTTGATACTGGAAAGCTTTCTATTAAAAATGGACAGCAAAAAACAAAAAAATATTTGTTTTGTCTAGACAGGGCTATTAGCTTGTCCAAGTGCTGTGGGAATTGGATCCTGTTGTTTCTCCTGTTAACACCTTCTGGTGCTGCTGGGAACGACCTGTATAATGATAAGTAGGTGTTAAGTGGGAGAAACAATGAGGAGTTGCTTGGAGAAGATAATTAGCTCAGATTTAGATCTTTTACTCAAAGAAAGATCCCAAATGCTCTCAACTACCACAGAGCAATATCTAACCTGTAAAAAAAATCAGTTAAATTGAACGAAATTAAAAAAAAAAAAAAGGCTTCGGAGATATATTTGTTTTTAAATGTTGTTGATATAGTGGCTACTTGAACACTTATAGAACACAAGATATAGCTGACTTAATATCCCCAAAGTCCAGTTTGATTTTCAAGTTCAACCTATTGTGTGATTTTATTTATTTATTTATTTTTTTTACCTTAAAGATGATTTGCTGAAGTTTTTCAGTTGTACATCTGTCTTTCATTAGGGAAAGATTTCAGAAAATCAGCTAGCAGTGTCATGAGGAAAGTCTGCTCTTAGTCTGCTGCTCGTAGATCTTTTCTGGTATTTATTCTTCTATTGCACCAAACAGGATATGTGAAAATTCTTTTTAATTCACCTCCTTATTTGCTCTTAAATATATATTTATATATATATATATATATATATATATATATATGCAGGGGGGGAATATATATATGTGTGTGTGGAAAATAAATATAAATAATTTTCCATAGGCTTGTCATTTTGTAAATTATCTGAGAAAGTTTGGGACAGATGGGATAAAGTTTTAGGTTCAAAGCTATAACAAAAAGTTCACTTTCAGTAATGCAGACTTTTCTACTGAAGTGAGAAGTTTGTTTTTCCAGTGATTACATTATAAGCTATGAAAATAATCAGACTTGTTACCCAGTTCTGTTTAAAATATTGACCAAGAGTTCCTGATACCATTCGATGTTTATGGCACCTGAAAAGCTCTTAGCTGTATCGTGAGGGCTCTGTGCACAGCAAAATGTGCTCATCCAGCTTGGAAAACAAACTGAGACATTAAATTTTGGGGTGGTAACCTAATTTTATTATTCTAAGCACTGCAAATTATTTAGTTAATGCTACACTGTGATTATTTTTAGTCTAGCGTGGAGGATGGTGTTTTATTTTTCTTCTAGGCCTGGCATATTTTAGACTGTTTTAATCTGGTGCATAGTTCTTAAATCCATGTCACTTCAGAGAGTGTTTTCTTCAGGACTGACATTAGCTGCTTTTATGTATAGGCCGTACTGTCTTTATACTGCTAATTTGCCTTAAATTAAAAAAAAATAGATGAATAGCTGAATAGCTGTTGGAACCACCTTCTTTCCTCCACTAGTGGCTGTCATGTTTCAAAATAGAGAACAGACTGAAATACATCCTAAGTTAAAATTGCATATGGTGCTATTGAATATTTTTCATCTTTGACATTTAAAAAATAACCTATTAATATTCCATTGAAAAAAATATCTTGAATTTTCACCTTCCTGCTTATGCAGGCATTACAGTGGGCTCCATGGAGAAATTTTCTTCTTGTGTTTTGGGTAAAATACAATTTTTATCCTGTGTTGTTTTGAAATGCCATACCTAAAAAGCTGGGTCATACAAAAACATCCACTCACTGTGTATGAGAAAGGGCACTTTTATATCTCTGCAGCAAGATTAGTTTACAGTTTCTAGTAAGAGGTCAGCTTTACGAAATCCCTCAGAATTGCTAGTAAAAATACTTGTTTATCTGTGCCAATTAGTTACATGTGAACTGCCCGCATTCCTGTGGTCCAGACTAGGCCAGGTACAAGGGACAAGGTCCCTGCCCAGCTGCCAGAACAAACAGCTTTTTGTAGCTTGCGCTTTTTCAGACAAGCCATTTAAAACAGACTGTGGCATTGACTGTAGATTAGAGGCATAGTGTTTGGCAGGTCCCTGAATTTAAAATGGAGGAAGGTAAAACACGCCGAGGAAATATGGAAATGGAATCTGAGAAATTCAGCGTCAGCAGCTCAGTAGTAGAATTGTATGGATGATACCTTATTATCTAGTGCTGTAACCTTTTACATACTTTGCAGAGCAGTACTAATAGAAATAACAAACTCTGAAACCACCTTCTAGTTGCCAAGACAGACAGACACATATGTCTTTAGTCAGAGGAAAGTCTCCCTGACTATATTTTTATTTTCTTGGTGAACCTGGATGTTTTTAGTATACGCACAGTAATAACTATAGCAAAACAAATCTGGTTTAGTTATGAAGACCTAACATTTAAAAACTGCAGAAAATTGAGACCGTATGACTTGTATATCTGTATATCATATCTAACAGTTGATTTTTTTTTTTTTCCCAGCCGCCAGAATCAGCTTAAGGACCAGCAGCACCAGCAGCAGCAGCAGGTTGTGGCCTTGTGTCAGCTTCCTGATGAGGCCGAGTGTCTCACGGTGCCGAGGTACAAGCGAGACCTTGTGCAGAAGCTCAAGATCCTGCGGCAGGAGCTGTCGCAGCAGCAGCCTCAAGCTGGACATTGTCGTATTGAGGTCTCCAGGGAAGAGATTTTTGAGGTAATTCGAGAACTCGACTCATTTAGTACCATAAATAATGGGGATGGAGAGGAGAGTTATTCGTGATTATCCAAAGAGGAGATTAAAGTAGATGAAATTGTGAAATCCAGAGGTAAAGCTGGACGTTTACAAGTGGTGAATGGAAAGAAGAACCGTTTCAAGGGGATGTTCAGAGCAGTTGCGTATTTAAAGTAGATGCGTTTACACCATAGAGGAGGAGATAAAGGAAGAAAGCTTTCCATGTCCCCGGGGCTGTGCAGACTGTGTCGAGGACCAGGGAAAGTGTTCGTGCATTTGAAGATGATGTTTCACTTGCTGAATATAAGAAAACTGTTATATAATGTTGCAAGGTTGCATTATTTAGCACTTATTTTTTTAATAAGTCATATTTTATGAAATGTCTAGGTTTGTGGGTGTTTCTGGTCACTCCGAGTGTAACCTTTTGTGTTTTATTTTATGAGATAATTCTGCTGAATCAATTAAACCTAGTTATAATTTGTTGGCTTGTGCTGGAGAACAGTCTGTCTTCTGGAGGACTCTGTCATCCCTCACACCCATTCTCGTCACCTTTCACCCCACCCGTAAACTCAAACCCCAAAATACTTGTCACTGTTTTCCCGGCCAAGAAGGATTTATATTGGTCTTCCCTTTGGGGCAGTCAGATCACTTCCTAATCAACTAAAGGGAAAAAAAAAAGAAGGCTAGAGCAGCTGTACTGCAGTGCAAACTATTAAACTCTTCAAACTCTTTTGAAAGACAGGCTAAGAATGTTGGGTCCCAGGCAGGCCTACTTCTCTGCTCTTCTGCAAAGCCAAAAGCTGGGGGAGCAATACGGGGTATAGGTTAAGACTAGGCACTCTGTTTTTCTCTTCTCCTTCTCCCAGCAGGACAACACATATGAAAAAAGCTGGACGTACTACTAGTAGAAACATTATTTTCTTTAAATATCTGTAGATTCCTGAGGTGACATTGGTGCTGCTGTTCCTCACATGCTCCATGGAGACTCGAGTGTGCTGTCTACCCAGAGGAGCTGCCCCACTGTGGCCCTTCAGGCTGGAAAAATAGCGTGTCTTTGCAAACTAAAATGATTTTAGTGGCACAGATTTGAAACTTTTTTTTAGCAGTGTGAGAAGTACTCTGATCACTGCACGTCCCTGGAAATTTAATAGAAGGTGGCTCTTATCACGTTATCTTTTATTTGACATGTGTTACTGCAATTGTAGAAAACGAAGTATGATTTGAGAGGGAGTGGTTAGTGTCTTTGAAAACAGTACTTCCTTTGGGCTTCAACTCTGAGAATCCCTTTCATTTCTAATGAATAGTAGTCATTTCTTCTTGGTAAATAGCAGTTAACACATAATGTGCTGTGTGGTTACAGGAATCCTACAGGCAAGTCATGAAGATGAGGCCTAAAGACCTGTGGAAACGATTAATGATAAAGTTTCGTGGGGAGGAAGGCCTTGACTATGGAGGTGTTGCCAGGTAAACAGCCCAGCCCCTGGTCAGCTTTGAATCATAAACCTGCCCTGTATCGGCCCTGTGGTTTTTTTTTTCTTTTTCTTTTTTCTTTTTCTTTTTTTTTCCCCCAACCGCTTGGATGTTAGAAGAATTTATATTTCTAGACAGTCTTCTAACGCAAAGACTATACATATATAAACACACACATGCGCACACACACGAAGAGAAAGCATTACACAATTTTGCAAATTGTTGACTACTGTTTCAAGGGGAATGTTATAACTCAGTAGTTTATAGTCAGCTAAAGTCTGTCAGTGACTTATGAGGTTACTTTGGTTTATAAAAAGTAAAATTTTTGGATTGTATCAAGATACTCTTCATTTGCTAAAGCGGTGGCTGAAATTCTATTGACAGATTAAAATGGATGCTAGTTTAATCAATTTAAAATATGCTCCACCTGTTAGAAGAATTTATATTTCTAGATAGTCTTCTAATGCCAATACAGCTATGCTGTTTCAGTGAGTTTTTCTTTATAACATTCTGAGGGCACGAGTATTCATTTCAAAGATATGTTCATGTATCTTCTTGAATTTGCAGATGGCTGCTAAAAGTTTTACTTCACCCTTGTTTTTCTTTGAGTATCTTGGTTAAGAGTATCTAAGACAGCAGTCTAGCACCTTGACTTAATTTCTGCTAAATCTTTGGTAATAACAATACTGTGAATCACAATCAGAAACGCTCTCAGAAATAAGTAACCAGGAAAAAAAAACATCTTGGAAAGCTGGGAAATAGGCCAGCTGTCAGGTACTGTGGAGTTTACTGAGCCAGTAAAAATACTTCAGCCTTACCTAAGCGTGCTCGCAGCTAACTTCCTTCACTATTTTGTTTGACAGTAAGATTAAAAATGATACTATTTTGCAGATTCTCAGGGTAGAACACATTTGTCTGAAGTGTGCAATATATTATTTTCTTCAGGGAATGGCTCTACTTACTGTCCCATGAAATGCTGAATCCATATTACGGTCTCTTCCAATATTCCCGAGATGATATCTACACACTGCAGATCAACCCCGACTCTGCAGTTAACCCGGTACGACTGGTAACATGAGTTCTGTAAATGATCTTTTTGTGGCCTAGAAATTAAATACGGGGAGAATGTTCTGGACTAAGGAATCTAATTCTTGTGGTAGTATTGCTGGGGACAGAGTGTGTGCAATGATATGACAATTTCTTTGTAATACTGATCAAAGAAAAAAATCAAATGTGTTCTTAATTTTGCAAGATGCTGATTTATGTTTCTCTTGTGAAAAGTTGCATTTTGATTCTTACTATTAAGAGCTCTGGACTGGAAGCAATATATGCAGTATCCTATGTGTAAAAACAAAATTTAAAAAATCTGGATTTTTTTTTCTTTATATTGAAATTTTATGTTCAGCAGATACCTGGAGGTCTTAATTAGCTGAATTAGCCTTAGTGTCTCCTTTCAATTCCAGGAACACTTGTCATATTTCCACTTCGTGGGCCGGATAATGGGGATGGCTGTGTTTCACGGCCACTATATCGACGGGGGCTTCACGTTGCCTTTCTACAAGCAGTTGCTAGGGAAGCCAATTACTTTGGATGACATGGAATTGGTTGACCCCGATCTTCATAACAGCTTAGTCTGGATACTGTATGTACCGTACATTATGTTTTACAATATTAGAATTCCATTTCAGAAGGATATGTATTCCTAAATCCAAATGAAAAGAAATTAATTATATTTTGTTCTCCTGCTCAGGCAGCTTTAAAAAGCATCTTTTTTAGGTGCACAATAAAGTAGTTCAGCTCCATTAACTTTTAAACTGTCATTGAGTTCTACACTGTTGAATTATTCAGAAATACTAATTTTGTCTTTTATTAACAGTATTGCATTATTATTATATATTATTTAACCATTATTAAAATGATTCTGAAATACAACATAGCAAAAAATCCATGTTCGGATTTTGCTTCTGAGCAGTAATTTGAAATGTTAATGAAAACTGTGATGTGTTAGATATATGATGGCTGTAATGTATCTTTAGAGTATATTTTCACTGAGTAACTTGCTTATTTTGTTCCACCAGTGAGAATGATATCACAGGAGTCTTGGACCATACGTTTTGTGTAGAACACAATGCATATGGGGAAATCATTCAGCATGAACTGAAACCCAATGGCAAAAGCATCCCAGTAACAGAAGAAAATAAAAAGGAATATGTCAGGTATTATCAACATATTTTTCCCAAGTTTTTGTTTGGGAGAGGGTGCTTTCACTTGAAATAATCAAATGTCACGTTTTGGTTTTAGTTTTGTTTTTTCCCCAAGTGGGAGTGCACTAATCTGGCTGTAACATGCTTCTTGTAACATGCTTCATGCAGTCAGGTCAGGTTTTGGCTAGGTAGTTTTCAAGTGTGTTGTATGTGAATACATTTTTCACAAAACAAATTTGCACTTGCTTGCAGACTTTATGTGAACTGGCGATTTTTACGAGGAATTGAAGCTCAGTTTCTGGCTTTACAGAAGGGGTTTAATGAAGTAATCCCACAACATCTGCTGAAGACATTTGATGAGAAGGAGTTAGAGGTCAGTACGCTAACATTACGTTATGTCATCAAGTGCAACAGTGAAAGGCTGCAACATTCTTCTGAGACTAAGTAACATGCTAAGTTGTATCCCCAGCGCTTTAGGGAGGTTGCAGGTGCAAAGTTACACAAAATACAGTTAACATAAGAGGTCACCAGGTCCTGCAGTCTCCAAGACTGTCCTTTTCTAGGCTGTCAGTGCATGCATCTTTCATGGAGAACTCTGGAAGTGATTCTCAAGCTGACATTTCATAGCAACTGCAAGAGCGGTAGTTCTTATTTCAGTCTGATCTTTGGGACACAGCAGAGGGGAGACTGTGTCCTAAACCTGAAGACAGGTGAATTTCCTGAGGAGGGCAGGCAGTGACCTCGGATTGTTTTGCAGTGTTACTGCAGCAGAGTCTGCAGTGTGTTATTTCTCACGGTGCAGTTCCACAAAATTAAATTCAGTGCTGCCAGAAAAATAGTCTGTCACTCCCTTTCACCTCCCACCATTTGCTTGCAGCCCTTCCAGGGCGCTGACTTTGGTGGCAGGCCGCTACATGTGGTTTTGCAGAGCCGAGTTACATCAGTCTGAATTGGCCTTGTAAGTACAGCATAAAGAAAGGTGCTGTCTGCTGCTGTCACCCACAAATGTGCTACAAAATGTCAAGACAGGGTCCAAATATCCTTGGGTATAAAATTGAAATCTAATACATAGTCTGTCGGGTGCAGAGCTTTTTTTGTTATTATTTTTTTATTTACTTTGCCCTACAACATGGCTGCAAAATAGCTTATTCATGGTTTCTTCTGTTCCCTGTTACTCGAGTGTTGGTGTCCACTGTTCTTTTATCTTGAACGTTCTCATTCAACAATGTGAGCTGACCGTATTGTAAGTTTAGACTCATTTTGCAGATGCAGAATACAAAGGGGGAGGTCTGGTATTCTTAGCCACGAGAAAATACCTGTATAGTCAAATTCCTATCAAAGTTAACCGATTGCTGATCTTCAGTTAGACATGCTGAAAGCTTTTCTTCAGAGGGGAAAAAATTACTTAAATTACATGCAGCATTATTAAACATGTAGTACATGTACATTTAGATCTGATTTATATTACATGTATAAATGTGGCAACAATAAAATATTTCCTTTCACAGTTCAGTTGAGTGAGGCAAATTACCCTCTTAGCTACGCTTTAGAAATTAGTATTACTTTTAAACGGCAGTCCTGCATACACACTCGGAGCTGAAGGGCAGGATCTGTGCTACCAGTATGGAGCTGACTGGATACTTTCACGCTACCTTATGAATTGGCTGAAACTTTAATTTGATTTGAGGAAAAAAAAAATCAATATTGCATGAAGGTAAAAGATGAAGAAAGAAAACCAAGGGAAACATATCTCTGCATTGATTGTCTTCAGTATAAAAAAAGGTTGATTTTCAAAATATAGCATTTTTCTAGCAAGCTCCAAAACCGTTTGATAGGTTTGATAACTGCTAAAGTACTTGTTTATATTCTAAATTCACAGCTCATCATTTGTGGACTGGGAAAAATAGATGTTAACGACTGGAAGGCAAATACTAGGTTAAAACACTGTACCCCAGACAGCAACATTGTGAAATGGTTCTGGAAAGCTGTGGAGTTTTTTGATGAAGAAAGGAGAGCGCGACTGCTCCAGTTTGTGACTGGCTCCTCCCGAGTGCCTCTGCAGGGCTTCAAGGCATTACAAGGTAACGCAGAACTGACTGCCAGTGTCACTATGTAGGGGAAGCAATAGGACACATCACGGAAACATTAGCTAAAAATGAAGCTGGTTGGCTGTAATTTATTTCTTCAGAGGGATTTTTAGTGGTCTGATGAATAATAATGGTGTGGTGCGGTGTTTTTTTTTTTTTTTTTTTTTTTTTACTATTTCCCCCCTGGAAGTCTGCTATTTAATTTCTATGTTTTACCATTGCTCATGATCTGAACATCTTGGTGACAAGAAGACACCAACATGCAGTGTCCTTGTGACTTTAACTGCAGAGGGACTTCCATGATCTTCTTATCAAAGGCGCCTCATCATCACAAGCGGCCCAGGAATCAGAAATTATTTCCTTAGCAGTCCACCATTTTCCTGAGCTCCAGCTGAAGTTCTGTCCCTTTTGCAGCAAGTCTTTGGTTGCTTGCAAACCATGCTGTTGTGTTAAAAAAGTTTCCCTAATTTACCCTCACAACTTGTGAGAAAACTAGTCAGGGGAAACACTGGCTATAATGCAGTTTCGTAGGTGGAAAAATTTGATTCCAACCAAATACGAATTCTGTGGTAAACTACGTGATAGGCATTAAGAATTTTCTGTATTTTTTTCCTACCTGCTTATGTGATTTCAGCTTTTTCTTACATCTAGTCTCTTTTTCTTGGTTTAGTTCCTTTACAAGAAAACAGTGCAATAAAGCAGTTTCCTATAATGTGCTACAGTACTAATAGAATTTTGTGGGTTTTGCTTTGTTTTATTTCTGTTTGGCAGGTGCTGCAGGTCCACGACTATTTACAATACACCAAATCGATGCCAGCACTAATAATTTGCCAAAAGCTCATACCTGGTAAGGCTTCTTTCTGCATCTCTATTGGAACATTCAGGTTAAGGCAACTTTGCAGTCCCTGGAATATGATATGAGCTTTTTGTTTGTTTGTTTTCTCTTAGATAATAAATATTATCTAGGATAGATTAGTAAGGATGTAAAAACTGCAAATTGCTTTTATTTATATAAAAATCTGTTGGTCTTGTTAATATTGCTTGGTGGCTTTTCATGTTAAAAATAAGTTAAGGTGTTACCTATCTTTGCTGCGTGAGGCTTAAGTTCTAGTTAGTTGAAATTTCTGCTTTCTATTCACAGCTTTAATCGAATAGACATTCCTCCCTATGAAAGCTATGACAAGCTATATGAGAAGCTGCTAACTGCCATTGAAGAAACATGTGGGTTTGCTGTGGAATGACCCTTCACAGACTTACCTGGGACTCTATTTATACTCCTGTCAGCCAGAAAGCCCTTCCCTCAGACAAGACTCAAGAAATGCTTGAAATACAGGAAACTTTCCCTCTTCTACACTAGGACACTGTGAGGGAAAGGACAACTTTGGATTTTTTTTTTCTTTCAAGAAAATAGATTCTGTGGCTCTTGCTATAGAATCATTCAGCTGCTATTAAAAACTAATATCTTGAACATACAGAATGCTGACTTTTCCTACATTTCAACTGTTAAGCAGTATTCTATACTTAAAGACTACTACTATTTTTGTAAAAGGTGATCTATTATATTTGCCTACCTGATTTCTATTCTCAGATACCAAGACACAACTTCAGCAGTCGGTACAAGTCACGTTTCAGCCTGGTTTAAGTGTAAGATACTGAAGCATCTATACCTGCTATTTTTTGGAAAAAAAAGTATTTTGGATTATTCTAACTTTGCATAAAATTGGCTGAAGAAATCATTAATCTTTTTAATTAAAGCCACTTACATGTTAACTGCATTTTCTTATAGTAAAACATTATATTCTGCAATGTAAATTCAACTTAAATGTTACCACAGGGGGCTTTTTTATATTTTTCAAGCATGAATTACAAATATGATGTTTTTGAGTCCTATTTATATCACTTGTCAGATTCCTTGAAACAAAATTTCTAGTCTGAGTGGCACATACTGTATTTGGTACAGTACTTGTGTTAACGCTGTGTTAACGGATTCTATGATTCTAACATGTGGGATAGACCTTTTTAATGAATGGTAGACATTTGGTTTTTTTAACAGCATTTTTGTAACAAATCTGTCAAGAGTATTTTTGTTGCTTTTGACTGTAAATTTATCACTGCATTTTTCAAGTTTTCAAGCATGCTGATGAGGTGGTATTTGACAGTGGAAGCCTGTCAGCAGCTTATTTCAGAACCCATCGTGTCCAGTCAACCAAAGTTTGTTTGAATGCAGCCAAATCACATTATCTATTTGTTGATGCTAAAGATTTATCAGGTAAAATAATGTTTTAATCTCTGTCTAGCTGCTCATGACATGTGCTTTTAAGTTACAACTAAGGAAAAACGGTGATAAAGTTTTAAAAAAAAAAAAGTTGTATTAACTGTAATACATGCAATGTGCTTTAAAAGTGATGTTTTCAAAGCACATAATTTATTGATTGTAGGGATGGAATTAAGTATATATATGAATTATAACATGGGTTGATCTATTCAAAGGGGATTAAAATGCACTACCAGTAGAGGGAATTGAATTTTGAAGTAAGTTTGGGAATTCTCAGTTATGATCTGCTCATGGTGTGTAGCTGTCTCAATCTACTCAATGGACAGTGGCATTCTCCTCAATGGTGAGAGGTTTGGAATAGGTGGCTTTTGTTTCCAATCAGTGTTGTGTTTCTTAACTTAGGTTACAATCAATCATCAAATCTGCACTATTTTACACTACCGATGAGAAGAAAGTCTAGTGTCTGTACGAGAATGGGATATAAAGAGCTGTTCCACGTTGCAGCGTAAGTTACACAGTGAGCTAGCTGATTTTCTGTCTGTGCTATGGAGCTTGAACTTCATTTTGTTCTGCCAAATCTGACTGCTACAGTGAACAAACTACTACTGGATGTTGTGTATTAGAATAGTGGGCAATGAGCTACTTTTGTAGAATTGTGGTAAGAATCTGGTGAGCCAAACGCAACCATTCGATTGATTTTGGTACAGCTGTTGCTGGAAGGCTTGTTCTGAAAGACCCGCTTAGCCATGAGGCTACAAAGGGATGTAAACATCAAGGCCAAAAACTTGCTTTGAGAGCCAGGCTTTGGAATATATAGGCTCTTTCTTAATTTCAAGGGGCTGTTGCACTCATTTAAAATGGCTGGTACCTTTGCTTCTGCAGCTGGGGTACCTCGAGGCTTTCCAGCAACACTGTTACAGAGAAGCTGTCCGCCTGTTTTCCGAACATTTGTCCAAGTTGTTTGGGAGAGCAAAGTAGGATGTTGCCCAGTGTGTTTCTTGCTCAGCGCTGCTGCCTCTGGTTTGGGACCACTGCTCTAGACATGCCCGGAGGCCTCTTCTCACTCCTTTGATTTAGAGGAGTGACATGAATTGCCCTTGACAGAGACCAGGTTCTTCTGACCACTGTTCAGAGGATAGAAAGCCTAGTGTTGTGCAAGGCAGCTTGTTCTGCCCTGCTCCGGCTCTGCCTGTAAGGCTTTTTCAGCTGCCCTGATTGGGAAGGCAACTTTCCTCAGCAAAATCCAGCTAGATCCGGCCGTTGGGAGAAGTCAGGGCTCGGTCAGGATCCCTGGGGCAGCACTGTTTACTGTCACAGTAGCAGCTCCTGCCCGTGTTACCTGTACACAGCACCCAGGGACCTTCTCCCCATCTATTTACTTAAGCTGGTAAATTTATTGAACACACCGTTATGGCCACCCTAGAGGAGGGAGGAGGTGAGATCTGCAGAGAACAGTATAAAGGACTTGATAACTACTGTTCATTTTCACAGCAGCCTTAGCAGTACATCTGTTTGTTCTATCAAATGTTTTGGTGTGGCATTGAGATTTTTTTTAATGCCACAAGATAAATATTGTAAATTTAATATATGATAGGCAAAACTAGACAAATCTACATTTGACTAGCCATAGCTGACAGATGAGAATGAATATATCAACTATCTTGAGTGCCTTTCTACCTTTCTAATGACTGAGAGCTTTAACTGAAGCACCTCATCATCTAGTCAGACATTTATAAAAATAATGTTAAACGGTTAATTCCTTTGCAAAATTTTATTTCAAGATCATGTCAGCTACTTTCCCCTCCAAAAGGTGCTAAGCCTAATATTGCATTTTAACCTTGGACTTTCACCCCATGATTAATGTGAATATTTATTTCAACATATCCCTCTTACTGGATTTTACTTCATCCAGTCTTTAGCTGTTTTAGAAAGATGTCACATCATTGTTTTTATGCTGTTGCTTTTCATTATGAATGTTTAATTATGAACAGTGACTTTTGTAGATTTCAAATATACAGTACACAGTTGAGTTTCAGAGGATTTAATTTCTCGGTGTAAAGAGTTTTGTAATGGTGCTTTGTACAGTATGTATTCTAATTTTTTTGCACATAGTTTCAGTTTCCCTGAACTGATTTATTTTTACCAAATTTGTGTTGTACTAAAGTCCAGAGCACACAACCTGTTTTTAAGTTCTTCTACAACACTACACATCTGTATTAAACTTCTGGTGCGTTTAAACTGGCTGCATTGATGGAAGTAAAAGCTTTGCTTCTATAGCATCAGTATGCGTTATACAGCTTGATGTAGCATGCTCCACTTGCTTCAGATTTTAAACTGCACCACATAGTTAACAGGTGCCAGTTGTTGTCCTTTTCACTATATAGTAGGTTTCTGGCTCTACCACATCCCTAGAGCTTTGTCCGTAGTTGTAATTAGTTTATACAAGTGTAATTGCTCCTCCACAAACTGACAGTTCTTAGTTTATCATTTCCATTGTATTTATTACAGTGTTTTAGCATTGATATCATTGTATTTTCACTCAGCTGTTACATGAGCTTTAACAACAAAACAATCTGTATAAAATGGTTTTTAAGTACTTAATGTATGTACCCATGCAGAAGTTGAGCAATAAATTGTATGCTGTTTGCACTGTCACAGCATCAATGGTTTAAAAGGTTTTATCTTTTTTTATTATATATGTACTTTACTATGTAACATTACAAGTTTTGAGTTACTCAGCTTTGTTACAGCAGAAGATACTTAAATGTTTGGTGTCTTTCTACTTGTTGTTACATACTGTAACAATGTGTTAAGGTCCTGGTCAAACAGGAAGGGTGTATTTCTCCTACAACTCACATTTTCATGTCGTGGATGGTAGAACCTTGCCCAGAGAAGACTTTACCTTTCTGTTAGCAAAGAGGTATCTTCTCTCAAAATTCAGCAAACCTAACCCATCTTGCTTAGGGGAGGGGAAAAAAAAAAAGGTAAGTAACACTAATGAATAATGTTAAATATAATAAACATAGCCAGTAAGTGCTTGGAACTATCTTGTTTTATAGTAACTCCCTTGAAAGGGTTGTGAGAATGAGCACACATGTGTGCACAAACACTTTAAGTGAAGTATATCATGTTCTAGCTTTTATCTGCTTTGTTTAATCATTTCTACCTGCTCTTCTGCCTAGCATTTTTTTTTTTTTTTTTTTTTAAAGGCTTAAATCCACTACAGTTGTCGATTCCTTAAGAGGTACTACCTTAGGGCAGGTATTGCTGTATATACACATAAGGGATATTTTTACCATCACTTTACATGCAACATCCTATTTTGTCATCATGTAGTTTGCTCTGTCAACTATTCACCGTTATGTATTTGCATCTCTTAGGATTTATGGCTATTGAAGATTTCCTGCTGAATTTTCTACTGAACTGTATATTTTCCTAGCAGAAGCAGATGATCATTCTGTAAAAGACAGGTACAGTGTCTCTTCCCAGCTCCCCTTGCTAGAAGTAAAGTTTACAGGCTCCTGACTTGAGAACTAAAAGGTGAATTTTCAAGATTTTAATCTGTTTACCCTGGTTTCCTGTGCTGATAGAAGTAGCACTAGTCTGCCTTACCCTAAAAGATAGTTAAATAGGATATATTTTGATAAAGCTAAATGCACCTACAGTCTTACAGAATTGCTTTAGTCCAGATTATCTGACTCTAGATCAGAACATGCTAAATTAATTGATTGCCTCTTTGTATCTACCATTAGCATCACATGTCCTTTTGAAACAGAGCAACTGAAGCAGAACAGCAGCTGCTTTTAATGTGGGGTTAGGTAGTTTTGAAAACAGTACCCTAACTTACAGCTCCTCCCACCAGTAACTGAAGAAGGTTGTTGAGATTTAAATATATATAATAGTTGTATGCCCCACTCAGTAATTAGGAATGCTGCCTACAGGCCCCTTCAAATTTTCAGTTCGTGTAGCTTATACTTGATTACTGACTTCTCATTGTTTTTTTTTATTTCAAACTCTTCCTAACTATAGTCATAGCATAAGTTTAATCTTTTATATGCTTTGCTAGTAACAGCAAAAGACACACCAAAAAAATCTAAAACAAGGGAGGACTACATGTTTTACACTGTATTTATGATTAATATATTAAAATTACTTTTTTTATTACTTTTATTTCCAAAGGGAACTTGAGCAACTGACATGATTTTAAAGCTGCTCTTGCATTCAGCTTTTCAGTCCAATTATTTCTGGTTAATAATATATGTTTTTAACTAAAAGCAATAGAACCAACACAAGAGCATAAATTGCTCAATATTCAACGGTTAGAAATTTGATTACTTCACTAACACATTGACTTTTCTCCTTCCCTGCATGTAAGCTCAACATTATTCCAGCCTTGCAAAGAAGGTAAAACTTTATTGGTTATTATAAAAGAAGCACTTTATAATTTTGACATGTCAAGATGACAGGCAGGTACTTTATAATATAGTAGCTACACATCAACCTCCAGTTATGGCAGTTCTCTTAAGGATTCCCATCACCTTACCCAGAGAGAGAACTGCAGTGACATTTACCATGAGTTTTAAAAGAATGAGCTTTTGCTATACTGAAAGGAAGCCATCTCAAGTCTAGATCTCAATCTGTCTGCTTCCAGTTCTTGAAAAAAGGTGTCATCGTCATTTTGCATTATCATCGTCTGCAGTTGCTGAATCTCCTTTTCCATCTTTGATCTTAGTTCTCTCTTTGTTTTTCGCAGCATCTAAAGAAAGCATAGTTTAGCCACAATACCCAAAGAGAAAGAAATCATTTATACAAGACTAAAAATACTTACTTGTGCTTGTACTTTCTCTCTGGTTTGTATTTCCTGGCGTTCTTGAGATAAAGCTTCTGCTAGCATGGAAAACTTAAGCATAATAAGTGTTTGAGTTAGAAATAATTAAAGAAAACAAAGGTTTCCAGTGAAGAAAAACAAACCACCCTTATCTGACTTGGATGCAGATTACATTTACCTGGTCTTTGTAATAGTTTTCCATAGACTCCAGTTCATTTTGATGCTCTCGCCTTTGCTCAGCTCGTTTCTCTTGAGCATATGTTCTCAAGTCCTTTAGTCTTTGCTTCTGAATTTCTAAGCCTTCTTCAAAAAGACTTTTAAATATCTGGCAACAATTAAAAGGAGAAGGAAAAAAAGGAAAAAAACACACACATAGAAGTTATCCAGCAAGTTAAAAAAGATTGGTAGTTTTTCTTGCAAACACTAACATTTCTGAATAACAAGGCTCATCTTGTTTGAATGAGATGCTTTATATATACATTTATGTTTTTCCAGCTACTCTACACTGTGACAAACAGGTGATTACACTGAAGACAGATTCAGTGAAGACTGTCCATGAAAAAAAGTAAATAGTTGGGTATCTAGTAATAGTGGTATGTCCATAGGTGAGCTGTATCTGTAATACTCATGTAGCTGGAACTCCATGGAAAGGCAAGTTGGATGGGTAAGTTATTCTTTGTTAGTTTGGCTGGGTGTATAAGGAAGTGAATAGAACAGCACACATGTATTGAGTGACTTTTAAAAACACTTTTCAAGACCTGACAATACAGGCTGGAGTCTTTGAATGTGCACTGTGATTTACAAACTCCTTGCATTCTAGTCTCTAGATGAAGGTCCTTCTGCTGGCTTTCCAAAAAGCAGGAAATGCAGCCTGTATTCAGGCTTTTCTATCCATAGAAAAGAATGCTCAGAAGCTACACTGCCCATGCAGCTAGAGGCAAATAGTTCTCAAGTCACTAATAATGGATCTCTGCCCTCTTAGGCTTGAATTATAAAAGGTGAGAATGGTACAAAATGGACTAAGTAAAGTCTTAAGGAAACGAAGCTTATTTTTCTCCTTAGTTCTGCTTGTGTGTCTCTAATGGAGAGATCACTGACAAAGTTTGTTTAACAAAGATGAGCAAAAAAAGCTTTTTTTTAAATAACATTTTAAAGAGACTATTCAAGATGATTTTCTTTGGCTAGCACCTATAAGCTATAAGAACAACTAGATTCTACTGCTTTTGAAAACTCCTTCCTCTAAAATCTCTTGCTAGGAGCCCTCTTTCCATAGCGATACCTGATCCTTTTTCTGCTTCCCTTAACCCTGGCAAACACCCTTTTTTATTTTACAGTGGTCTGCCCTAAACTGCGTCAGTGCTTCCAAAGAAGGAATCTTTTTATCTAGGACTTGGCTGACCAGCCACTTAATCCTGGCTCCTATCCTTTGTTTACTTAACTTGTCCTCTCTCTACTTACACTATTATTTGAGCTACCACAGAGCAAGAATTCCACACCTGCAGATCAAGACATCTTTTACCTACCCTTTCTTCTCGTGTCCTGGCCCTCATCATCTTGGCACGCAGCTGAACCCGATAATCTTCATAGTATTTCCTGGCTCGAGCAATTTGCTGGCGTTTCTCTCTGACTTTGCTTTGAGCCCATTTCTGTCGATAGATGCGTTGCTTAAATTCTTGCTAAATGGAAAGTAATAGCTGTAAGACCACTGCACTTCCTGGAGATATCGCTTCAAAGCTTTGTCCACTTATACTAAGTAGATAGGGAGAAGTTCTTTAGGAAGTGACCCTACCCCAGTTTTACACTGGGTTTATGGTTTGAAGGATTAGTCACCATTTTAGCAAAGTAATGTCTTGCCATGATTGCTAGTGTACATTTCAGGCACCAGGAGCCTGAATTGCTTCTCCTTGCCTTTCCTCAGGATTTGTTTTACTTTTAAAGCAACAGTGCAACATAATGATAATAATTCCATTCCCATGACCTCAGGAGCCACACAACAAACATACAGCATGGCATTTGAGACCAGAGCTACTCGAGAGGCATAATATTATCATAAGCAGCCACTCTCATTAGTCAGGGAATTTGTATTCTCATATAAAAGTTTCATATAATGCAATAAATACCCCTCAAAGAACATACCAGTCTCTGGTTATGGTCTTGATCTTTTTTAATAATGTCAGCAAGCAGTTCGTGCTTCTTCAGGGCTTGTTGAACCTGAAAGTTTGAAAAAAATTCTCTTGTTCTGCAGGATAAATAGTTTTATATAGGTATTTTAGTAGAACGGCAGTGTTCATGTCTGCCCAGTGTTCTTTCACATGAGAAAGGCACCATGCATAAGTCGTCTGTACTTATGCATGTACTTAACTTCTAGGCTGCAGCAGAACTGTTTAAGAACTAGCACTTAAAAGCATTTAGAAGCTTGAAAGTGGTATTAGGCAGTAGTAGAAAAGCTAGGATAGAAGATGACTGCTGTATTGGAGTGGCTGATGCAAATTTGCACCTATCTATTATCTACATCCATACATTCCCCTATTCTAACTAATCACATCATCCTTGGCAAGAAGCATTTCCCCTCCTCCTTGTACCTTTTCAGAAATTACCAAGTGAGTATTATTTTGGCTCAGCTTTACTGTCTATAATGGTACTAGGAATCCTCTCAGGAAACAGAGCAAAGTTGTCTAAAACACCTTTAAAGCGAGAGCCTGTAAAACCCTGGGTTGCAGTAATATGAACAAGTCTTTCCTACAGAAAGAGCATATTGTTAATTAAGCCTGCTTAGATTTTAAGCTGCTAAGGGTCTTACCTACGCTACGGGATGACAGTGTTAGCATAGTCCTTAAAGTGAAGGAAATTAAAGTCATCTTTTACTTAGAAGTAAGTATCTATGTCTATCTCAAAGCTAGGATATAACCATCCTCTAACACTATACTTCAGCAATATGCACCCTGTGGTGCACGAAACTCATCATAACTTGTCGTTTATCTAATAAAAACTGAGGCCGGTTACTGCCATGATGAAGCTAAGCAGTAAGAAAACCAGGACTCACTTCATTTTGGAGTTTCAGTCTAGCTCTGTCTTTGCCAGAAGCTGCCTTAAGTTGTTCAATCTGTGCAAGCTGCTGCTGACACATTTTTTTCATGGTATGGTGGGAAATATGCAGGTGGGGAAATTCTTCCAGTAGCTGAAATAGGAGGTCATCATCTTTTACTTTCACTACAAGGTAAAGACAGATGTAAGCAATAAATTCCTGGAGAACACATTTAGTGGTAAATTCTTCCAGACAGTGTCAACCTCTGTTACAAAATAATTTAGACTGAATGTTGTATGCAACTAACATGCTATTATGATGATGTCAGGCTAAACGCAGCAGGACACAGCATCGTGGAGGCAGCACAGCAGCTGCAAAAGTGGTCCCAAGTAAGTAAGGATTTTTTTTTTCTCCTCTGCTGAAGAATTCCTTTTATAGCTCAAGCTTGATTTCCCCCTCCCCCCTGCCATGTTTGATCTAATTTAGGCAAGTTTTTTTTTTTTTTTTTTCCTCCTTCAAATGCTTTACACAGTGGTTTTTTTTTCTCTCACTGTCTCTCACTGGCTGCAGCAACATAAAATAATGCCAGTACAGTAGTAGTGGTGACAGATCCAGGTCAGGTAAACAAGTACAAAGTAGACTGGCTTATCAACAACCAGCTCATTCCCAGTATATCTTTGTTTTTATTTATATATATATATATATATATAAATAGCACTGTACCTGTACATTCAGATGTGTGTGGAGGATTATACTATGACCTTATATATAAGCAGAATACTGTTTCCAAAACTTAAGTCTGTGCTTTGTATATTGGCTGGTCTTGCAGCATCACTTGCCCAGCTCAGTGGCAGCACTAGTACTGCAATGGCAGGGCCTTTCCCTACTGAACAAGCTGACAAGCAGAAGATGCTGACCGATTCAGCTCTTACCTGCTCAAGGGTCAGCACCAGCCCACTCAAACTAGAGGTCTAATATTAAGACTAATATAAGCTCAGGAAAAAAAAAAATTAAGACAACTGAGCTCAGAGACTAGGGGCAGAAGCACAAGAGTAGCAGTAATGGAAACACACCTTGAAAAGAATCCAAGGGATTTTAAGGAGGTAGCAGATGGGTCACAGTTTAGAATTTTATGTTAGCAGTTTACATTGACTTAAAGCATTATCTTCCCTAACAAAAATCCAGACATATGGAGGTCATAAGAAGGGGAAAATGCTTCAGCTGACTGGTATATCTTGGACTGATGCCCTTATTCTTGGAGTTCAACACATGCTTTCAAAGGATGCCAGTTTTCCACCAAGTATAGTTTTGCAGTTCTTACTTGGAGCTGCTTTCTTTGGCTTCACAGTCCCTCGTTTTGGAATCCACTGGCTGTATTTGGGATTCCGAGGTGTGGTTTTTCTAGAATAAACTTTCACTGGCTGAGGCATTTTTGGAGGTTCTTTAAAGATGTTTTCTTTGTATTCTTGTTCCTTAGGAGCAGATTTAAAACAGATGGAGGACAGGTATGAGAAGGGAAAGACTGATAGATCACATAGTTTGGATATCAAAACTTAAAAATGACTTTGAAACTTTAGAATTAAAACTTGGACATACTGAATTTAATTCTAAAAAAGGCCAGAATCAACCAAATGCAGGTCAGGGTTCAAGTGAAGGTTAAAACTCACTTGCATAACCTCACTTCTTCTGCAGCACTTATACTACAACAGCCTATGGACCACTACTGAAAAGGATACAAAAACAGTGCAGCTCATGCTGGCATGACAAAGCCTTTCAGCTTGTGTTCCTTGCTGTTCAAGGTAAGACTGGCAAAGGGCTTCTCACTGCTTTCTTAAAGGTATCACTTGATGTGCAAAGCACAGTGATTGTCACCCCTAGGAGTAATATCCACAAGTGCAAGACTCGACTGCTTGTCCCCAAGTTCCACCTATCTTAGAGAAGGGCTGTCTTTATGTTTACCTCAGTAACATGCATCAATTACAGCTCTGAATAACTATAATGATGAATATTCAGGCACATTTATACCCTCCAAACACATCCACAGTGTCTGGATATAACACTAAGATTTTTTAAAAACTAGTCAGTGTAGTGCATGACATACCATTTCCTTGACTTTTTCTCTGAGCTTGGAGAGCCTAAGCCTCTCTCTAGCTTCATAAATTCTTAATTCCTCTTCATAGGCTTTAGACATAAGCTAGAAGAGAAAGAGCACTTTTTGCTTGGATTTTACAGAAATGTTTACCCAGTTCAGATATGTGTCTCATTAACTTATTTTGATACGCGCACACACACATCCCCACCACCAAACATCTTCATTTCCTCCCAATCCTCAATCTCCCCCCACTCTCCAAATTTGGGATCTACATCATTATTCAGCAGTCTACAATTACAAAATTCTTGGAGTGGACCAAATGCTACTAGTAAGTAAAAGCATTTAAGTTTTTTTTTTTTTTTTTGGTGTAATAGTAACAATAAGTAATAGGTCTAACCAAGAAGTTACCTTTGCTTTTACTCTTCTTTCATCCATTTCCTTCTGCAATTGGCCGCATATTTTCCCAATCTGGCTTTTTCCATCTCTACAGAGTTTATCTTGTAGCTCAGAAGAAAGCTGGTGCCAAGATTGGGGTGAAGATGGAGAAAGAGAACGTGGCCTGTTTGGGTACTTCTTTATATGTGGTGTATCTGTAAAAAGAAGTAAGTGCCTTTTCCTTACTTGGAACAAAAAATCCTCCAGCCAAATGCAAGGAAAAAAAAACACCAAAATTGGACTGTGTGATAGGAGAAGTGCCAGGACATATGCAAGATGGGGAAGTAAAAGGTAGAAAGAACATCTGAAGGTGAGAGACTATCCATATATCAGGCTGACAAATAGCAGATCTCTATCTTGTAAAAGCGTTGCACATGTAGATTGACTCAAGTCATAATAGTTTTATAGTTTGGTCTACATATAACATGGTTGTATGATCATTCTCAAAACCACAGTGTATGTAGGTTTTAAAATACCTAAATATCTCTGCTATGTTCAGTACTAGAAAAAAAAAGTAAAGGGCATTGAGAACAGGCCCTCATTTTAGGGTCACACTACTGTCGATGAATTCTTTGTGTTCTGTACTTTTTCTATCTCAATTCCACACATTTTTTTTCTCTGCAGCTCATTTTGCCTTTTAACTACGGTAAAGTGTGACTAGAAGTATTTGACTATTAAATGGGAAGTTGGTTGTAATTCTGTTACTATTGCTCAAGTTTCATGCCAAGAAAAAAAAAAGTGAATTTGTACAATTACAAAAAAACTTCTGTTAAAAATACTGATCAGGAAAATATCAGATTAACATGAATTAAAAAAAAAATAATTACCATGAGAAAAATTGTTACCTAGCCGAGCTTTGCTTCTACGATAATCCATGACGCTGTCACTGTGCTGAGACAGGTTGTCTTCATCTGTCAACTCTTCTCTGGCATGCTCACCCAAAGCTCTCTTTAGCATCTATTAGATAGAATTTTGGGGTCAATCAATAAAATTTAGATGTTAATTGAAGACTTCATTTTCACCAATATTTATACTCTTGTTTTCCACAACCATTACCACCAAGATGAGATTGCTCTGATAGCATAAAGAGGAGATTGCCACTTACTAAGTCTAGTTCATTTAACCTGCGAGAGAGCTTCTCTGATATTTCGTGTAGCTCTTGCTCAGATAACTTTTCCTTTGTTGGTATATGGGAAACAGATTCTTCTTCAAATGAATCTGTGGAAGAATTTTCATATCTGCTAAAACAGAAAGCGGATGCAACATTTCATTTCTCTTCAAAAATATTACAATTGAAGATAAGCATTACCTCATACAATTCCAAATCTCTTTGTATGAACACATTTTTATGGGGCTGAGTAAAAGCTGTGTAAGTATCATACATAAACACATCTATGCCACTTAGTAGAAAAGAAAGATTTCTATTAAAACTGATCTTTAATTGTCTTGCAACTGAAAAGGCTTTTGTAGAGAGAGGGAAAGGAAGAGGTGTGTGCGAAGAACTAAATCCTCTCTTGGTTCAGCACTCCCTCTCTTCTCCTCCCTAAAATGAACACACATACAAAAAAAACACCTAACTTGCCTTTTCTTTCTATCGTTTCTATCCAGGCATCTTGACTGAGGTTCTACAGCTTGTGTTACTTGTTCAGTGCCTGCTGAGAGTTCCTCATGTACGGGGGAAATTGATGTGGAAGTTCCATATACCCAAGGAACCTACAAGAATGAATGACAGAGTAAGTTAAAATTTCATTGGGATTTACATGATAAAGCTCAAATACCACAGATTATGGCAAGAGAGTTCCTATCACAGCTTTTATGGAAAAGCCATATTGAACCATATGACCATGTGTGTTAGTAGAGCAGCAGATAACAATATTGAAATCTGCAGGCTTAAGACAACCCAGAACATCCAAAAGATAATGGGAGAATTAAATAGCAATTCTGAAGTATTGTCTGAACTTCTACAAATAAATATCCAATAACTACCTTTGCTACATTGTCCTCAGGACCATTTGAGACTGCCTTGTCTTCCACTGCAGAAATAAACAACAAAAGTATTAGCAGATGCTGTAGATTGCATTGCACCTACCAATTTGGGAAACAGATATAAGCAGCTGTAGAACTGAATTATTTAAAAAGAATAGGGTGACAAAGCAACTGTAGCTACACAGTTTGAGTTTTGAGTGTCACGGGAATGCTATGGAAACTAGAAAGGTAACCAGTGTCTCCCAGGCAACAGAGAAAATAAGCATTGAAAACTAGCTTCTAAGCTTCTTCTACCCTAGGAACCTTTTATTGCTTTTCCCTCAAGCTTAAAATGGCCATTTGTGGGGTCATATTTTGAATAATTCTGTGCTCTGAATAAGCTCAAGCCATATTCATTTTCAGGTTAAAAAATGTATACGTGTATCTATCAATTTCTGTAGTATAGATGTACTTCATACATAAGAAGAGATTTGAACTATGGACAAAGACTATTATTCTCCAGTCCAGTAAATAGCTTAAATTGAATCTATTTTATTTTCCTGTAATAGAGAAAAAGGAATTTGGCATATGCCTAAGTAACCATTTTTAAGTACTAGTAGTTTCAGAGCCCTCTTGGCTTGTACTCAAAATCAAAAGCAACATTTGACACTTAAGAATTGTCCTATAGGAAGTAAAATTCACTCTCACCAGGGATTTTCCTTGACAGAGGAAAACTACCAGAAAAGCCTTCAGATTTTTGTGCAAGTGATGTCTCAGGCTGAAAGATAATGCAAGTTTTCTGTGAATTCACAGGAGTGTTACAACATGAAGGTCATACAACAGGTTTGTCTGCATGTGGAAGTCGATGCAGATTTTTTAAATCAAATATAATTGTATTGTAACATGTTATATCACACACACACACATCTCTAACTTCTGAGCATCCAGAGAAGAATGATTCCTCCTTTCAGGGAGGAGGAGGGGGGTGGCCTCTTTTCAGTGGTGGGCAGGGATAGGACTAGAGGAAATGGCTTCAAACTGAAGCATCGGAAGTTCCACAGGAACTTAAGGAAGCATTTCTTCANCCAATGGGTCCAAGCTGCAAAGCTTCTTCTATCAACAGTTGTGTTCCTTCGAGTGTTCCAATATCATGAGTGGATACCAGTATCTGTATTCCCATTGCTTTCCATTCTCTCACTCGCTTAGCCTGATAACCTGCAAAAACAAGATGAACTTAAGGAAGATGAACCACAGGAACTTAAGGAAGCATTTCTTCACTGTGAGGGTGACAAAGCACTGGAACAGGCTGCCCAGAGAGGTTGTGGAGTCTCCTTCTTTGGAGATCTTTCAAACCCGCTTGGATGCAGCCCTGTGCCACGTGCTCTAGGTGACCCTGCGTGAGCAGGGGGGTTGGACTCGATGACCTCTGAGGTCCCTTCCAACCTTCGGCATTCTATGATTCTATGAATTTATAATCCAACTTTTATAATACCCTCTGAAAGTTCATCATGTTGATATGATGACAAATTCTCACTGAACACATTCAAAAGTGTACTTCAGAGCCCAGTTACTCACATTCTACAAAATCACTAGAAGAAATTCTTATAACTAAAGCAGAATTAACAAATAAAACCAGAGTTTTTAGTTACCATAGGAGTTTCCAGTCCTTGACTGTTAACCAAAGTTGCTGACTGGCTGTCTGAGCTTTGATGATCTCTCTCTACAGAATAATGAAGCCTGGTCTCAGAAGGTTGGAATGGTGGTAGCAAAGGAATAGCTTGGCGTATTGGCTCCCCAAGCTTTCTAACACCAGAGCTTAAGCTCTTTTTGTGAAATTCAGTAGTATCAGCAGACTTCACTGACCCTTAAGAGACAAATACCAAAAACATTAAAGCCACCTACAGAGCATGATTCCAGGTTCAAAGATCTTGCAAAAAGAAATACTTAACTTTTTTGTATTTTATTAGTTGAACCAAAAGAGAAACTTCTTCAAAACCCAGCTAAGTAAAAATACCCCCAGATCATATAAATTCCACTATTCCCTGAGACAGTTCCAGAATTTATGAATGTGCTTTCCCCATTTTGTTTTTTTAATAGCTATAGTGTTTCCCATCCGTGGTTATGGTTCTCCCCAACTCCCTTGGTCAAAAGGGGTTAGGTTAGCTATCAGAAACCTGGATATTCTTTTACAAGGGCACTTCTAATTTCAGAAAACTGTCTATATAATGGTGCAATGGCCTCCGAGTGTTTAGGTTCTTCCTCTCAGTTGTACATTTACATTCAAAAATTAAAGGAAAGGAACAGGCATCCTAGAAGTGGTGTTTAAAAGAAGCAGGGAAAGAAAAAAAAGTAAAGCATCTTGTTCTGAACTATTTAGGAAAGATAAATTGTGCCGCTATTTTCATCTATGTATCTCTTGTTAAAAAAGCTGTGGAATTTTTCCATAGCTCCTCTGAAAGGAGTTGTTCCTTTTGCTTCTGATTTGAGTGAAGACATATATATGTGTTCCTAAACAGAAACTGTATTAGAGACTTAAGTTTGAGGCAAGTTTCAGAATAAAGTGAGGTTTGACTTTGTTACTGTATGTGTTTATCAGAGGCCATTGATACATTATCAAAACTGTTTTTTAAAACTTTTTAAAATGTATCCCCAAATCCTAGAAATCTTACTACAGAATAGTACTAAAAGTACTTACCTTCCTCTTTCTCAAGAAGCGATTGAGCAGGCTCCCCAAGTCTGATTAATTCATTAGTAGATCCTGATCCATCCACATCACAAGGTGGAATAAAAATCTCCGTCTGGGACCTAAAAGGAATGAAGTAGAAAAGCACATTTATGCTAAAAGTCTTTGCCTCTTTAGCCCACAAGATGGAGCTTCAGTTAGCTAGCTACTATTAAAGTTCAGGAAATAAGAAACCAACATCCTCAAAACCAACCAATGAAGACATCTTGAAGATAAATCTAACATAGTTTCATCAAAATGCAGTCATTTAAAACTAGTGGAAAGAAAAAGCTTTGAACTTGCTTTTCTCCATGTGTAAAGTAGATTTAAGAGAAACTAAAAGCCATCTTAACATTCTTCATGAGAAGAAAGAAATTCTGGATCTAATTTTAGCCCTCTTGCTGCCCAGCTAGAGGGGAAAGTTACCTCACATTCCATTTGACATATGTAATCGGTATATGTTTCCTACTTGCATAATATTAAAAATATACTAGCTGTTCCACCGAAACGCAGACAGTCAGTCATTGCACCAATGCAAACATTTAAATTGTTCTTACCCTTTAACTGGTGAGAGTTCTGAGGAAGGCCTAAGTTCACCAATGTTACTTTCCATACGTTCTTGAGGTACATTTGGAATTTTGTTATTAAATAGAAAATTTGTGTCATCTGTTAATATTTAAGATGCATTAGTTTTTTTGAAAACTAAACCATACCTAATAACAAGTATTATTGCCAACATTATCAAAAACATCTTTAAACCAATACAACATTACAATGGTGATATGCAAAATATTTTTAAAGGGGCCAATTTGTGGTAAATTTTGAAAAACACCACAGCTATCATATACTTTATTGTTTCAATTACTAAGTCCTTTCTTCTTCCTCAAAATAATTAAATCCTGTACTTCATTAGAGCCACTAATATTTACTGGATAGCACTACTGGTAGGGAACACCTATGAGAAAAGGAAAAAGTAGCACAAGCACCAAGCAGCGCTACTGCCTCTTGTCTCCCCTTTGCAGCGAAGCAGGGCAGGTAGCATTTAATCTCATCCACCACATGCTCTCTCCCGCTTTGCTCACCATGTGCAACAGGCAGCAGTGACAGCTCTTATCAGCTGTGAGACCGGAAGACTAGCACTCTGCAGCAACAAGGATGCCTCTGAAGGCTTGAATTCCATCTCTTCCAATTTACATTTTTTTCCCTCAAAATAGCCTTGTAATAGATCTATCTCCAAGACTGCCTTCATGTATAAGCTGAAGCCCTTGTATACATTGTGTCACTAATGCACTCATTAGTATGAAACATTAGTAAGTGTGGAGTAGGCTTCTGCCACAAGAATGAAGCAGAAAGTATATTTCTATATTATAGTATATACCTTTCAGTATTTTTTTGGGGTGGGGGGAGAACACTTGTTAGATCTTGTATGTCTCAAGGTTCCATAAAGCTTACATTTTAATAATATAATAAACTATAATTAAGTTAATAAGCCATAATTCCTTATAGTTGTTAGTGCAAACAAACGGAACATTTCTCATCTGTTATGGGGGCTGTATTCAATCCATAGACACCAAGAACTGTGGTTGTGACAACCCAGTAACCCCCCAGCAAGCTAACTGCTAGCAGACATGCTATCAAGCATAAAAAGATACTGCCCATAATACAGGGGTATGACATAATATCTCAAACTGGAAACTTCATCCACTCACCTTCATTCTGAGAGGAGACTTCACTGTCTTCTTCTGTAAGATACTCTAACAAACCATCAAATATTTCAAGGAGGTTTCTGATAGATTCCCTCTCTCCTTTCACAATGTTCTCACCTTAACAGAAAATACTATTACATATTAATAATTAGTACTTCAGAAAGAAAAAAAAAGTGTAAGAGCAAACAAAACCAGCCTGAAAAAACTTCCAAGAGTTTTCTAAGAAAAATTGCTTGGAAATTCTTTTGAAGATTTCATCTCAGAAAAGATCTTGGGTCGCTGATACATAGCTAGATCTGTAAGGGTGTAACGTATCTTAATAAGCTTTCCAAATTTTAACTCTGCCCAAAGAAATACTGAATCAGTAAACTTCAGCTGACATTTAAGCAGACAACTGAAATTTACTTGTTAACTTTCACATTTCCTAGAGCTCTGCATTATGTAAGAAGGCTTCTATTTATTCTCTGCTTGCTGTCTAAATTTATATCTTGCGTCTAAGACGAGATCAACATTTTAAAGACATTCATTACAGCTTTAAGATCCTGCACACAGGTATGAAAGTCTACTTGATAAGATATGGTTCTTTTAATTTAAAACTTTCAAATTAAACGCTGAGTGTCAGTATTAATGCAAGTACTCACCAGTGATATGTGACAAGCTGACCTGCAAGTAGTCCAGTGCCAGAGAATCTATTACAGCTTGTATATTATGTGCATCATCCTCTTGGCTTCTAGGAGTAGCTATGAAATCTATGTAAAATAAGCAATATATTACAGGCTACCTAAAATGATAATTTTACTGCAGATGTTTCAACTAACCTACTTTGAAGTTTTCATTTCTATAGAGTAGCATTTTTAAAATATTTATGAATATTTTTAATATTTAACATTAGATACCATCTACAAACTTAGATCTTCCTGAACAAGAAGTCTTGGCACCCCCAAACACACATAGTTTACCCTAAAACAGAGACGAATACATGGTTGTATAGCCTTGCTTAATTGGTATCACTGTTATCATACAAATGCTGTTTACCTTATCAATTAAGAGCCTAAATATATTAAGAATTACACCAGAATTCAGCATTAACACTTATTTAAAATAAGCAAATTCAAATCCTTTGTAAATACAATATCTATGTATAAATTCAAGGTATAGTTTATTTTAGAGAAAAAGTGTTTTTAGTGTATTTTTACTAGTAAAAGCTCCTCATAGCTGCAGTTTCAGTCTTCAGTTCGAACTAACAACTTTAGAAATTAATATTCCTACCTGGTACTTTTTCTCCTAAAATTGATTCATAAAGACGAATGAACACATCAGCACCACATTCCGAGAGCTGCTTGATTTGTTGGTTTATGTGACATCTCCTTAAAAGATCATTGGCAATGTCAACCCAGTCTATTAAGGAAAAAAAAAAAAAGAAAAAGCTAAGACATGAAAAAGCTAAGACATGGGAATACAACACAGTTAGTAATAATGAAAAAAAAAAAAGAAAGAAAAAAAGGTTTCAATTTAGGACTAATTGTTGTCTGCGACTGCAGTATCTGGTATCCCAGTCATGCCACTTTGAGCATCCAGCCTCCAGGACCAGTTATGCTTTCTCTTCTGTGCTCTGGCTTCTTTCAGACAGAAGGATGGATGAAGAGTGAGAAATGATGCAGGCCAACATCTTGTTCAAGGATGTGGTCAGGACACAATTGGACTTGACAGCCAGAAGATACCGAAGTTCTAGACTTTTAATTCCTTTCATCATAGACAGGGAACCAAACCTGACATTCAACCTTAGGGTGATGATTTAAGGTTCAGAATTTGCTCTTCTGCTACTCAGAGAATTTTTGTATACATAAATTTAAGTTATAGGTTTTTATTTTTAAGCATAATCTGACAACCTTAATAGAGATCTTTAACACATCTCTATCAAGAGCTAGAAACAACAGATACCTTTATGAATGATGTGAACTGATATCTTACAAGAGCAATTGACTTTTAGCCAGCAGTCTTATATCCCTAGAAATATGATATGACAGCTGTTCAAGGAGGAAAACAAAAGCAGAGTGTTACTACTCCAGCAGCCACCTGCTCCTCTTGTTCTTGTCTTCTCAGGGAAATGACTTTCCCACCTATCAAGTCTTCCCTCTGTTCTAAAGACACCTTGCCCTTACTTGTTTTTTTATTTTTTTCCCCCCTCCTCTCACTTGTCTTTCTCCCCTGTGCATGAAACATGAACACAGCATCTCTTCTGGTTCAGGTTGACAAGTCCTTGAGAAGTTGCAATTACCCTTTATTTCTAGTTTAAAGGTGGCATTAAGAGAAAGATGGGACAAAAAAAAATGTTTATAAAGAGCCATAAAACACTTGAATAAGAAATTTTACGGGGAAAACAAACATGAATAAAAGGGAGCAAAATAAATAATAAAAAAAAAAAGAAAGTGAAAAGGCTCTTTTGCACTAGCCAGTAGCTGCAGGGCAGCACGGCCGGGCCCCTGCAGCACCCTCGCCCTCCCGCCATGGGGCAGGGCCTGGGGACACCGAGGCCCAACGGCAGGCAGGGCACGGGGAGGGGGCGCTGTGGCCCGGGAGGGGTGCCCCGCGGGCCAGGGAGGGGCGATCTCCTCGGCCCCCCCTACCTGTCTCCTCAGCGCTGCCCATGGCGCGCGCTGACAGCGTCTCACACATCCAACGGTCCGCAGCCACCGCCCCGTGTAATTTAAATAGCCCCTCTCGGCTTCCCGCGCTCCGATTGGGCATCCCCCGCCGGAAGGGGCGGGGCGTCCAGCCCAGAGCCGTCGCCATTAGCTACGGCGGCGGATGTCCTGCCTCCGTCGCAGGTCGCTTAGCAGCGGGTTGCCGCGGAGACGGGGCGGGGCGTATGGCTCAGAGTCACGTGGCCGCGGCTTTGCCTCCCCCTCCCCCCCACCGTTTCCTTCCTGGCTCCTAGGCGGGGGGGGGGAGGGGGTGCCTGCGGCGCTCGCCCTCGCGCATGCGCAGAACGCTGCGGGGGGGGGGGAGCAGGAGAGAAGGGGGGGTTGGAGGCGCGCGGTGTTGTTGTTGTCTCGGCGTCCTGACGGGACGGGGCGGCCCCTTGGCTCGCGTAGCCTAGTAATAAAAAGATTTAAAAAAATCCTTTACTAGGGGTTCAGTGCTGGGGAGGGCTTGCTGGGAAGGTCCCGCCCTTAATCACCCTGAAGTGAGGGTTTTTTTATTATTTTTTTCGCGGCCTGTGGAGGGAAGAGGGCTGGCTCTGGCAGGAGGGGTGGAGCGGGGGAAAGTTCTAGTACTTGACCTTGCAGGGCCGGCTGTTTGCGAACAGGCAGAGATGGTTGTTTACATTAGAAGGGTTAGTGTGCAGTTGGGGAGTTTGGTTTAGCTTAGCGGGTGATGTAAGTTTGAACGGGGAAATGCGGTGTGACTTGGTGATTTTCGTGGACAATAGGAATGCCAGGACATTTCGTTAGAAATGCAACTTAAAAGCTTTTGCCTGTACATAGCTGCCAGATGACAATTCTTGTGAGGTCTTTGGAGATGAAAGCAGATTATTTTCCTTACTAAGCACAAACAACACTGCTTAGGGATTCTGGAATTTCCGTGTTGCTCCAGGAAACACAGTTTTCAGTTTGATATGTACACAGCTCTGCAGGCCTCTATTTTACATTGCATATATTGGCTCAAAGAACAGAAGGAGGAGGGGAAGAAAAAGTTTACCTTAAAAGAATGAAAGACAGAAATACTTCGTTTTGTTTGCTTGTTTTCAAGGAGGAAAATGAAGTTGCACTTTAAATATGTGCAGACTACATAGAGACAGATTCAGTTTCTTTAGGTGAAATTGTGTGGAGTTATGTAAAAATAAACACGTATAAAGAAACAGATGTGGGTGTACATAAGGAAACAAAAAGATAGGCCTAATTTAGGTGTTACTTTTGAGGGTTTGTTGTGGTATCATTTAGTACTGTTTTCTGAAAACTTGCTTCAGTCTTCGCAGCAGTCAAAAAAGGGAGGAACCATCGTTAGGAAGCAGGGCAAAACAAAGCCACCATTTTGCTCTCATTATGTAAATCCAAATGAGGGGCAGATTTTGCATTCTGTGCGCAGTAAACTTAAGCATGGGGGGGGGGGATTATCAGAAGTGCGGAATTGCTTTTAAAGAAGTCATCAGACTGCACTTTTTACTTAGAAAAGGGGTGACTGTGAAGATACCAAGGTCCACAAAGAGTGTAGATAAAGTAGATGGGAATTTGTTATTTACCATTTCTAACAATTCACATTGTTAGTTACCCCCTTGTTCTTAAATCATCACCGTGTTTAAAGCTAAGAAAACTACTTTTCAGGTAGTGTATATTTAAACTGTGAAACTCTTTGTCACAGCTTTAGAAACTAGGAGCACAAATAGAACAAAAATGCAAATAAAATGCAAATACAATTATGTTATTTTTGCTTCATAAAAGTCTTCAGCCACAGCTCGTCAGAAGGTGGGAGGCCACAGAGGGAAGTTGTTGTTAGGGCACTTGTTCCGTACGCTGTTTTCATGTGCTCTGGCAGTATGGCTGCTTACGCTCCCACTCTTATCTCATATGTGCTTAAAGCCACAGGTAGCAGCAAGATGTACAAGTCATTCCTGAAGCTAACGGAGCAGGGAAGGTGAGCAGGGCCACACACTGCAGGTGCCTGACATTTGTCACACCTGCGTGTTCTGAACAAGCAGCCGCGTCCCTCCGTGCACTGGCGAGCTTCCTGGTGACCTTTAAATCGCTTTGCTAGACCCGGGGTGGAATTTGGAAAGATAAAAATAGGCCCTGCTCCCAATCACATGCATTTTAATATTTATGAAAGTGCCCAGGCCACGGGGCAGTCTACAAGAACATTTTGGGGCTCATTTTATAACATTTGCAGCCCACTAGTTGACTTTATTAACAGATCCTCTGTGTGTCCAGCCTCCTCTGTTTCCTGGAAAGCTGAAGGACTTAGGTTGTTCTTAGGTCCCAGAGAAAAAAAAAAAAAAAAAAAAAAAAACACCAACAACCTCCTGTTTGCCCTGAGACTCTGCCCAGGCATGTGCCAGTGCGGGGCGGGTGAGGACACTAGATGGCCGGTTATTGATCTGCGGTGCCAAATCTGCTGTTTGTCCCTGGCTAAATCGTGTGGTGGTTGTGTGGGGGAGGGGTCGCTTTTCCTGTCACGGGTCGGGCGGCCCCGCTAGGCCGCGGCCTGCGCCCTCCCCCCTCCGCGCCGCACTTCTGCGCATGCGCGGCGGCTCGCGCCCTTCCCTGCGCGGGCAGTGTGGGGGGTGACACCTCCCCCCGCCTTTGCTTGCAGTGACGTCAGCGTAGGCCACGCCCCCCAAGAGGGAGGGGGACTTCCGCCCGCGAGCGCAGAAGCCGGTCAGTCGGCCGAGGCGCGGCCACGCCCAGCGGGGGGGCGGAGTCTCGCGCCGCTTACATAAAACAAGGGGCGGGTTCGGCGCCTGCGTCACCAACCGGCTCCCAGCAACCCCTGCGGCTCCCCCTATATAACCGGCATCCGGGCGGCGAGGCGCTCTACATTCAGTGGCCCCCGTCAACGGCGTCGGGATCCGGACGTGCCGTCCGCCTTTCTCTTTAGTGATCGCCACTTGACCGCCACCATCGCTTCCATCAGCATGTCCGGGTATTCCAGCGACAGGGACAGAGGGTGAGTCCGGGGGCCCGGCTGGCGCTAGCCGCCGCCAGCGTCCGGACTCTTAGACCGCCTGCGGGCATTTCGGCTGTTGCGCTTTAGCCGTTTAAAATGGCGGCGCGGCGTGGGGGTTGGGCCATGGAGCCCTTCCCCGCAGCTTGTTGGCCCCAGAGCTCCGCGGTGGGGAGGGGAAGAGAAGGAAAGGGCTTTAGAGAAAAGGCTTTTATGCGTGGGCGGCCACATAATCTCGGGAGGGGGCGAAGTCCACGGACCCCACGGTCGCTCCTTAGGGGTGCGGTCGGGAGAAGGGGATTGAGCCCACTGCGCGGAGCGCCCCGAGCGCGGATGGCTCCCGCGGAGCTCGATTTTTGTCCGTTCGCCCACCCCCCAGCCCTCCCCGCCGCGCACCTCGGCCGCGGTGGCGCGCTGGGCTGGCGGCGGGTTTGTGGGTCAGTGGGTTGGCCGGGCGCTCCGTCGATGGCGGAGAAGCCTTGGGGGAGCTCCCGCTAGGGCGGTTCCCTGCTCTCCCTTCCCCCCCACGCCGCGCACGGCGGCTCCCGCAGGCGCTGCCAGGAGCCGGCCGGCTCCTGCTTTGTGTTGTGTAAGCGGATGTTAATGGCCGGCCCCGCCATGCGGTGACTGAGGGGAAATCAAAATGCCGGCTGCTGCTGCCGCCTTTGTTCCTCCTCCTCCTCCCCCCGCCCAGCTCCGGCTCTAAAATGGCAGCGGCTGGAAAATGTGGCGTAGACAGAAATGAGAGACAAAGGAAACAGCGCTGGCAGGAAGCAGCGGCCACTCGGGCAGGTCCCCTCTGGGAGCGCTGTGCGCTGCAGGGAGGATCGCGCCCAGCGCGGGAGAGGGAGCGCCCGCTTGAAGCCGCCGTAGCGGCCCGTGGCCTCGCTCTGCCCGGAGCCGCAGGGACAGGTTTTGGAGATGGGCCCTTCCTGAACAAAAGGATCCATGTGACCTCCTAAAAACACTGTTACTGACAGGAGCGAGCCCTTTGGGATGCAAAACCCACAGTTTCTGTCAAAGTTGTCCCGAGATTGCCCACGTGCCCCATACCCACTTTATGTGGGCAGGCATGCAATGGGAGGGCCACTTGTGTGGGAAACCATTTTTATCATGGGGATTATGCAGCTCTGTTAAGGCTTCCACTGAGTTGTAGGTTGGTAAAGAATCCTTTAGTTTTGTGGAAGCCGCAAGGTAGCATGTTACTGTAGTTTGAGTTATAACTAAGTTAATAGTGGTAGCTGCAACTTAAATAGGCTTTGGAGTTTCAGTAGGATGTAAAATGTATAAAACTGAATGGTCAAGTTGCAGGTTGGGCTGTCATGATGAGTTGTATGCAAAAATATATATTATGATGTGTTCTTCTCTAGGTTTGGAGCCCCTCGTTTCGGGGGGAGTAGAGGTGGACTGCTATCTGGAAAGAAGTTTGGAAACCCTGGGGAAAAGCTTACAAAAAAGAAATGGAACTTAGATGAACTGCCAAAATTTGAGAAGAACTTTTATCAAGAACATCCTGATGTAGTTAGACGTACTGCGGTATGTGCTCTATCCAGCTTGTGTAAAAGTAAACAGTATAAATGTGCTAAGAGTCTTGGGGCATGGATAAAGGAAATTTGGGTATCAAATCTTCTAATAATGGGCATTTTGTCTTGCAGCAAGAGGTTGAACAGTACAGATCAAGCAAAGAAGTAACAGTCAGGGGCCATAACTGTCCAAAACCAATTATAAACTTTTATGAAGCTAACTTTCCTGGTAAGTGCAGAACAGTGTATTGACAGATATAATTTTAATCAAACATGGGGAAAAAAGTAAGTTAATGAGTTCTAATACTCTCTTCAAGCAAATGTTATGGAAGTGATTCAGAGGCAGAACTTCACCGAACCAACTGCTATTCAAGCACAAGGATGGCCTGTTGCCTTGAGTGGACTGGATATGGTTGGAGTAGCGCAGACTGGATCAGGGAAAACACTGTCTGTAAGTTTTCATTGTAACTTAAGACTGTTGCTGAATTCAGCAATGGCAA